GTTTTTCATTGGTTTTTCTTACTGATGCTTTTCAAGTTTTTGCGGAAATGCGCAAGCTTGAGCATAAGCTTGGCTAGTTTTTTAAACGGAAGGCAAAGCCTTCCACTGCACCTAAAAAAAATCTGCAGAGAAGGTTCCTGCTGTTTTGGTGCCTTCTGCATAAGAATCGCCTTAGCCGCTTTCACTTTTCTGTGATAATAAGCAGAAGCCAGTGTATTCAAAAGAGAACGTTCAAAGCAAGCTTTTTGATTCCAAAGAAAAAGCTATTTTTGACAACAAAGGAATCAGAGTCTTAAACTGGCCAGCAGAAAGCAGAAGCTGTTAGAAGTTTGCCAGAGTTTTGCGCATACAAAGAGCCGTGCGTTTTAAAGTCGATTCCGGTGCATGGTAAGGCTGTGGGGAAATTCAAGTTAGGTTGGATTATTAACGTTGTTGTTTGGGTGTTTGGTCTTGTGTTGTCTTGTGTTTCCGCAGACACAGTTTTGGGTGGCTTTTTAGCTTGATGGGTGGGGGTCTGCTGGGCTACAGCTTCTTTTTGGGTGTAACACATTGGCGTAGCCTGGAATTGCCGGCGTGTTGGTGGCCGCATTTCCACTTGCGGACTGTGGGTGCGTACGCCTTCTTTGAAGACGTGACGCCTTGAGCGGCGGCTGCGAGGCCTCTTAAAGGTTGCGGCGCCTTAATGGTTCTTCGTTAACATGGTTGCTACTGCAAGTATGTTCCTGAAGTGTTCCTTCTACCAGGGCAGCGTTTGAGAAGTTGTGCCCGAAGAACCCTAAGAGCTTGTTTATGAGCAGCTACGGCGGTGAGTTGTTCTCTCTGACAGCTCGATAGTGTTGAAGCGTGCAGAAGCTCGACGACAAGGATCCTTGGAAAGATTTTGCGGCCACGTGTTAAGTTTTTTGGGCGCGCAGTTCTTGGCAAGGGGGCTTAAGAAGGGGCTCAAGGGGGCTTGCCGAATCGCCGCAGTTACAGGCTTTCGGGGGCTTGGAGAAGCCTTCAGAAAGAACTTAATGCAGGAAGTGCCGTGTCTGTGTGTGCGCAGCACGCTTTCCTGCACGCGAATTTTCAAAGCGACCGTAAGGCAGCAGATGTTGCTGCACAGCTCAGGCAGCGAGACTGGCAGTGCTTCCACAATTTTTGCAGCTTTGCGGGCCAGGCCGGCCCTTCAGCTTTGTCCAAGCTCAGAGTGGCAAAAGAACCTTCTGCTTAAGCTCTTATAAGGTGATCAACTTGGAACAGACACCGCTTGCCCTTGACGGAATCGGCCCTGCCAGCACGGTAGCCTTCCCTTGTGCCCGCGCCATCCCCTTGAAAGCGGCTGAGGGTGCGAAATCGCGTGGCGTTGCAGTAGCGGTAGCCACAGACTCACCTACACGGGACCTATCCCCCAAATGCAACCGTAGCAGGCAGGAGGATGCAACCTTGTGGACCTATTCAAAGGTTTTGTTAGTGCACCTTTCTTTTGACTGCTGGAGGTGATCCTTTGAAAAGCCATATGTCCTGTAGGTGCTCAGCCAGGTAGCTTCTTGCTTTGCGGCTCCTCTGCGGACCCCTCTTGTTGCTGGCTCGAGCAAGTTAGGATCCCGATGGCAGTCTCAGCACAGGATCTTCCCACCCCAGGCGCTCATCAGCAAGGCTCCCAAGGGTGCCCCTGCCTGCTTGACACTGATTCGTGCCTCTCTGTGCTTTGGAAGCTCACTATGTGAACAGCATCAACCCGTCCCTTAACAGGTACCTTGGAGAAGAGAAGGACATCTAGGCGCAGTGGTGAGGGAACTCGGGCTGCACCGGCAGATAGGGACACTCCCTGTCGCCGGATGGTGAGTCTCGATTCGCAAGTCAAAGGCGCAGATTTTAACCGGTACACGCAGAGGGGAGTGAAGGTTGAGCATGGGGTCCTGCTGTGCATTGCAAGGCTTGGCGCATTGAGAGAAACTTCGATGTGCGGCTCAGCCACTGCTCAAGACAGTCCAAGCCTGGACTGTCCATGGACGCTTTTCCCTGCCCATCGCCTCGTGGCTGTCTTTCCTGAGGCGCTGCCGAACTCCGCACGGGGCATCTTGGTAAACCCACCACTCATTGCTGGCAGAACGCACCACTGGATCAAAGCCACAGTTGGTGATGGAATGTTGCCTTTTTTGGTCTCGTCCCCTTCAACTACCCACGGTTTCCTTCCTACCTCAGTGGTGCTGATGCTACCTGGGTGGGCATTTCTACGTGGCATGGATTCATTGACCATCTTTGGGCAAACCTCGCTTTTCAGCAGGCTACCTTGGTATGCGCATGTCCTGCCGCAGGCCGTCAGGGCGCGGTCCAAGCCTGGACCATGCCGGCCGATCGTGATTGGACAGCGGCTGTCTACCTACGATCCGCGCTTTCATTGAAGCTGCCCTCACGATGATTGGCGCCACCGTGCCCGAGGCCCTGCCAAAGTTCTTGTTGGGTATCGGGGCCGGCGCCGCCTCAGCGTATCAACTCATGTGCGAGGCTGGCTTCAGTCCCTGGACCGCTGTGGTTTGCATCGCTCCTGTGAGAGTGCCATATCCGACCCCAGCGCCGCTACAGAACGGCATCCCGATCTTGATCTACGGCGGCCAGAAAGACGCGACGACCTTCTGCCGCCATCTTCGCCATGGCCACAGCGTTCGGGGACCCAATGATGCGGCTGAGACAGTGGAGACCGCCCGACATGAGTCACCCTTTGCGCCGTTCATGGGCTACCAGCTCAGCACGTTCGAATGGGCGCCCTCAGTCATGGTACGGAATGCAACAGTCGTGACCCGGGCCACATTGTGTGGCCGATTCTTTTGACAGACCCAGACTGGATGTTGGCTGACCATATGCAGCTGCCATTGTGAGTTTGCCTAAGCCGAGGCTATTGAGCACGAAAATATGCCTCATTTTGCGGCGCAGTTGACAGGCCGGCTGCTCTGCCGTCGAGGCGGTTGACAAGCAGATTGACAGAAAGCCTGCAAAAGGGGAGTGTGCCGTATCATTGGCTTTGTTGGAGGGTAAGTCTGACGCATGTCTTGTCTTTGCTGAGCAGGTGAAGCTGGGACACATAACCTGTCATTTGGCTCGAGAATTCATGAGCATTCACGACTTGCGAGTGGGGTCCCTCTTTTCGTGGTTTCTTTCCTGTCCCTTTCTTCCTCTGGTCGCTCTCCCTCTCCCACTCTCCCTCTCCTCACTCCCCCTCCTTCTTTTCCTCCTTCCTCTCTTCTCTCTGCTATGGCAAGGCCCAGCCAAGGCATGTACGTTTCCTTTCCGGTGGGCACTGAAATGGTGCAAGTTTGGGTCACCACAATCGGTGACACAAGGATACGGGCAACTGACCATCGCTGTCCTTCGATGCCACAATCCGGGCTCATCGCCGGATGTAGTGACCCACCACAGCTGGTCCTAAGGGTCCTAAGATCTTCCGCAAGACTTCGTGCCCCTAGCGGACGCCGCGGCTGCCACCTTTATGCCGGATAGACAATTATTGCGCCTTGCGTGGGATCCAGCGGCGAGGGTCCAACTGCTACATGCTTTCGGTGAGCTGCCGCCAGAGGCCACGAGCGCGGTGGATGGTGTTCTGCAAGTGCGAGTCCCCATTCCCTGCCACCCTGGGCCGTTTCTCCCGGTCCTTCCGCCACGCCCAGCCCCGCTGCCACTTTTCTCCCACCCCCCCCACCCCCGCCCAAGGGAAAAAAGGGACACCACGACCATGCGGAGTGGAAGCGGTCCTGGCCTTGCAGCGTCGCATCTTGGGTCTGAAGCGTCCGCCTGTGCTCCGGCACATGCTCAACTTGGGCAGGGGAGCCAGCAATGCAGGTGCCTCGTGGGATGGGCCCGGCCTCCGCAAGCCTGCGGAATCCGGACCGTCTCGGGGCAGACACCCTGGACCAGAGAGTGTCGCCCCCTCTGTCTGCAGTGCCGGAAGAAGGAATGGACAGCGCTGTCCCATCTTCTCCGGAACCCAGTCCTTTTTCGCCCCCCATGAGCCAAGCGCCACACCGGGTAGAGAAATGGAGACCCATATCCCGCCCCCTCCATGGGTTATTCAGGACTCCCCCTCTGTTGAGCCGGAAGGCCTGAGCCCCACTTTGGCGGAGCTTCTGCTGCTGGAGCAATCCTCTCCTATGCACACACCAGGGGTGTCTTCCCCTGCCGGCATCTGGGGTCACGGTGTTTGGTGACCCGGCCAGCCCGCCAGCTGGCTTGCACCGTCATGTAGACTATGTCGCACTTCTCGTTCACCTGCAACTAAAACCCCTAAGCCCCTAAACCCCTAAGTCCCTAAGCCCCTGAGCCCCCAACTCCTAAACCCGAACCCCGAAACCCAAACCCAGAGCCGGTCCCTTGCAGCCAGCGCCAGGACTCCACGAGATGGAGACTCCATCTCGTGCAGCATTGCACGCTCGTGATTTCAAGGCCAAGTCGCTCCACATCGGTGCAGCATGCACGCTGGAGATCCTCGCCCAACTACCTCTCAACCAACTCTGAACCTTCTTGCCGGTATGCCAGCCGCGTCGCCAATGCAGCGCGCCTTCCACAGCCTCTGTGCCTGGATCGTGTCTGGAGACCGGACCACGAAATTTCTTCAAGTTTTGTATACTTGGGCTTGGGTGGGAGCTCATGTCATAATGTTCATAGCATACCAGAATCTGTCACAGTGTAGATTTGGAGCTGGGAAAGTTCGCAATGTCACCAACAGCCGTTTGAAGTGCTTGGCTGCCTATGTGTGGCCACGTGGGCAACTCTTCGCCATTAGGGCAACTCGAAGCTGGCTGGAAGCGCCAGGTCACAACCCAAGAGCAAACAGTTCTTAATCCAGGGCTGCGGATGCATGTGCCACGGGTGTTCAGGGCAATCGAGTACGGGCCCTATGGATGTTCGCAATGTTTTCACTTTATATATCCGTGACTTTTTCAGTTCCGCGTGCGTCAAATATGGCTCAGATGGCACCAACGCTTCTCTCATAGCTTTCAAGGTCACAAAGCAGCCCGTCGCTTATGCACGTTGTTCGTGTTCCCAAAGACGTGGCAAATGCCTTTTATTCCCCTTTGCATGACCAGCTGGACCTGGCGGTTGCTAAGACGATGCGGCCACAAGATCAAGTTTTGCTCAAGCAACGGCACAAGGCTGCCTGTATACACTTGCAGGCCGCTGACGGGCCCATATTGCTTTCAGTTGGCAGTGGTGCTCTCCAAGGCGACAGCATTGCGTCAGATTTATTCATGGAGCAGTATCATCCCCTGGTTGACGAATGGTTGCAAAGAGCAGCGCAAGCTTCCACCTATCACCAAATGTGCGCAGATGATCCGGTCAATTGCAAATATGTCCACACTGCGTTATCCGTCTTCGCGGATGACCTCGCCATTAAGGTCATCTGCGACGAGGCTGCGGATTTGCAAGCGCAAGCATCTTTGCTGGATGACGAATTGGACGAAGTGCTCGCAAGTGGTGGTATGGCGCAAAACCCCGACAAGCAAGAAATCGTGTCGCGTTTTGCTGGCAGAGGATCTCACAAGCAGATGCGAGAAATCTACTGCGGCAAGACTCCACTCGATGGGAAAGCAGTGCCGCAGGCCAAATACTTGGGAGAGATCTGTACGCACAATCTACTGCTGCTCGCAAGCACCGCCTGGACAAAGCTCAGGCAGCTTGGGCAAGTATGGGTTCATTTTGGACGCGGACAGGCTGTAGCAAACGGTCCGTCAACATGGTCTTCCGAGCATTGGTCTTCGAGACTGCTGTGGCTGGTTTGGCGCCCTTCGTCCTCAGTCAATCCGACTACAAGGCCCTCGATGCTTTTGTCGCGGCCAAAGGGCGGATCCTCATGCGGGGAAGCGCGCGCAAGCGCGAAGAACAGCCGGACGGTGCTGTCAAGTATGCAGCTGTCCCCAACCAACAAGTCTGGCGGTATCTTGGGCTTGCAGGAGTCTACGTGGAACTGCGTATCAAACGCCTGCAATTCTGGCAACGTCTGTTACGACAACCAGAACTTCACTCCAATGTTTTCGCTGCTATGTTCGGGTTCTTCCCGTTTGAAACAAGCCCCGCGCTGCAAGAGGATGGCTGTCTTCTGCAGCGCATCCGTGGCTCAAACAGTTGGTTGATGATATCGAAGCTCTGCAGGACATCGCCGATCTGGAGCATATCACCAACGCAGTGGACAGGAAGCCGTTCCGCCTATTCAGCCATGACGTTAGACTGGATTTTCTTATGGTTGACATGTCCATTCTCCGGCGCAAGTTTCTCTGTGTGGAAATCCCCCCACCAGGATACCAGAGCGCAGGGAGAACAGGCTCCCGAAGACTTGCCCGACATTCCAGATGACGAGCAGCATGTGTGCGAGCGCACACTTTTCAGATGGTTCTCTGTGTGCGGTAGAGCTTTCAAGTCGAGTACAGCCTTGGCAATACACTGCACCAAGCTACATGAGCATTCGCCGATGGAAGCTTTGCTTGTGGTCACAAATCAATGCTTGTTCTGCAGGGAGGTTTTTGCAAATGTTTTTTCGACGCGGAGACATGTGGCGAATTCCCTCCTACAGCAGCATTGCAGTGGTCGGTCTAGTGTTGTCAACAGGGCGCCAGATATTCCGGACAATCTTGACTGCAGCATGTGTGACGCACAGTTTGAGACTCTTGAGGCCTTGCACGATCATTTGGGGCAGCATTTGGGCGCACAGCTATAGTGAGAGCGTAGTCGAGAGTTCCTTGAACGTCATGGATAAGTGGGCGGCAAATGCTGGAACTCCCAACGGGCCGGCGCTGAAGCGCAGGCAAGTTGGAGGTGAGAAAGACGAGCTTGTCCTGAAGGCGGTTCAGCTCCTCATGAAGTCCAACTTGAAGCTGTCTGCAGACGTACGGGCCTTGCAGTCGGCAACTTTCCGGACTTGCCTTATCCCATCTACGGCCTCTTTCGTGACCAAGGCGAAGGAAGCCAGTCAGAAGTACAATGACCTCGTTCAGGCCGCAGGGAAGCACCACGACCTTGGCCCTCCACATATCCATGTGTGGGCAGCGCTGACAGTTGAAGCAGCCGTGCATCTCAGCGGAGAGATGTTGCGGCGTGTCGAAGCCCAGGCTGCTGAAGCCGACTCTCCCAACAAGATGCTGACGGATGTGCTGTACTGTCGAGTAGCTCCTGCATACGGTGGCTAGCATGTGAAGATCTACCTGACCACTACTGACAAGCTGAGACCAGTAGCTGACGCCTTTTTCCATGCGTTCAAAACGCAAGGAGGGGAAGAAAAGTTCGGCTTAGCTCCCATGGGCGGCCTTGAGCGTGAGCTCCAGGCGCTGTTGGAGGAAATCCAAAGCAAGTAAGTTGGCCGAATCCGTAGCTAATGCCACGATCGTGGGTGAAGGCGCCTGCATCCGGCAATTCGTGAGGGGGTACTCGCAGGTCCGTGGGTGGTGCCTCGGGGGTGTGTTCTTGTCTGTGTTCTGTTCTTTCACCTCGGCTATCCCCATGCGATCTGCATTGGGTCAGTGCCTCCACTCCAATCGGGGAGGACAGCAGGCGACTGACTCTTATCATGTTCCCAGAGCAGCGTGCTCAGCTAGGCAGATTTTGACTCGTCCGCCATTCAGCTGCGTGAGTGAGTGAGCAACAAAAAGCTGAGGAAGCTGAAAAAACTGCTTAAGCTGAGGGTTTCCAAGCCACCAAGGGTTGAGTAAGCTGAGACTTTCCGAGCCACAAAAAGCTGAAGAAGCTGAGATTTTCCAAGCCTCAGAAGGCTGAGTAAGCTGAGATTCCCAGGACATCAAAAGCTCGGCAAGCTGAGATTTTCCAAAGCGACAAAAGCCTTAGTTTTTCGCCTCGTGCAAAAGAAGGGACGATTAATGTGCAATTCATCCTTCGAGCTGAGCAAAACGCACATTGATGCCACTGATGTGCAGTTTGGTTTTGGCCAAAGCGATATGTTTTTGTGCCCACCATTGAGTGCTGCCATCTGGCGGGTCTTTTACGATTCAAGGTTTTGGGAATGTAGCTGAGACAATCTTGTAGATTGTAGATCTTAATGGACAACATAGTTCACTTAGCTAAGTCGGCTTAGCGCACTTGTGCTAGGTATGTGGTAAGTAGACTTACTGTAAGGACACTTAGTTGCGCAAGTTTAGGGAAACATAAAGTTTCCAGGCGCGGATTTATGGAAACGTAGAGTTTCCACCCGTAAGTGTACGGACACATAAATTCCATGCGCGTGTTTATGGAAACATAAATGGGCCCCCGTCCGCTATGTGGACTGTAAGTTGATTTAGCAGACTTAGCCTATCTCTGCCGCGCGGTTTAGGCCGCAACTTACGCAACTTAGCTATATGACGGACTATGTCCTATGTTGACTTGTCCACTTACAGGGTAAGTGGTCTATCTTCTTACCAAGCTGGCTAAATGGATAGCCCCCAACTCAGCCACTTACAACCACAAAACTTACTTAAGCTGCTACGTAGACCACGTGTAACCTGACTTAAACAACTTACAAAGTCACTTACATTCACTTACTAAGCAAGCTATCCACCCTATGTGGTTCTAACCCGGAGCGATGATCCAAGTGGTAGTACAAATTAAGTACGCGAGAACGCTTCTCGGAGGCTTCCCGGAGCTCTGGGCCTGGAAACTGGTTTTGTGTAGTACAAATTTCGAAAACACCCCCGAATTCGGCGGCTTCATTACCCTTGCAAATACCATGATCCCCAAATTGGGTGGTTCCAAAACCTTGGCAAATACCATGGACCCCGAATGTGATGGTTCCAACACGCTCGCAAGTACCATCGTCCCCGAATTCGGCGGTTTCAACACCCTCGCAATACCATGGTCCCCGAATTCAGCGTTTTCAAAACCCTGGCAAATACCATGGTCCCCGAATTCGGTGGTTCAGAGTGAGAGCGAGAGTGAGAGCGAGAGTGAGAGCGAGAGCGAGAGTGAGAGTGAGAGTGAGCGTGAGAGTGAGATTGAGAGATGGCGGTGCAAAAAGCAAATTGCAGGGGGTCTAGGTGGTGCTTTCAGCAAATGGAAGGGAAGCTGGGCGGTGCAACGCAATGTTCTGGGTAGTGGTGCTAAAAGACGAGGGCGTGGGCAATGCAGGGATTTTTTTTCGGCGGTGCTGTGCTATAAGCAAATGGCAGGGGTTCTAGGCGGTGCTTTCAGCACATGGAAGGGAAGCTGGGCGGTGCAACAAGCAAATTTCTGGTGGTGTTATAAGAAATGAAACAGGGCCTGGGCGGTGCGAGAAGCAAACGACATGGGTTCTGGGCGGTGTTATAACAGCAAGCAATGTTCTTGGAAATGCCTCAAGAAATGGAAGGGGTGCTGGGCGGTGCTAAATGGCGGCGCGATGAGCAAACGGTAGGGGTTCAAATTAAATGGAAGGGAAGTGGGATTGCTTGTTGCGCCGCTTAGCTTCCCTTCCGCTTGCTTATAGCACTGCCTCGGCCCTTCGCCATTTGCGTTTAGCACCTTGAACCCCTGCAAATGGTTTCCATTTATAACCTTCGCTATGCATCGAAGCCTGGCTGCCCCTGGCAGCAAGGTAGGTTTGTTTGGACCACAAAGACTCGTCAAACCCTAGCAGAACCAAAAACGCTGCCGCAAAACACAGGATGGCCTGCTTCGGGCACGGAAGTGGCACATGATGTAGTTTTGGTCCATGTTTTTTGTTGTCGCAGCACATTCCCAAAATCATGGAAGACAGATCCGGCCAGCCGTAAGAGAAGAAGTTCCGGGCGTAGTTCAGAAGTCCAGGAACATGATGGCGCCGCATGTGCACGAAACCAATCAAAGGAAACCTTCGAAGCAAATGGCCGTGTTTTCAGATGGCCCTGCTTGCACACACAGAATTTCCACCCGAAAGTGGCCATGTTGTGAAGCTGGCATGTCGCAGTACACGCAAGCACGGCCTGCGATGGTGCCCTCAGCGGCTATGTGCCCCGAGAAGCAAGTAACCGCGGAACGATGTGGTCTTGCTTTGCAGAACATGTTGTACATGCAAGCCTACGTTGTAGTAGAATCAGCTTTCTGAAACATCCATAAACCCTAAACCCCTAAACCCTTTGCAAGAGGAGCTTTTCAGAGCCAAAACGCAAGGCTCTCGATGGTGACAAGCATGTGGTTGACCATTGGAAGCTAGGTCACATGGCGCTCCTCACATACATTCCGCAAAGCTTTTGTCCAAGAATTGCCAACGCACGTCTCGTTAAGCGCTGCACTTAACTTTGTGCCATTATCGTAATGTTAGTGAAGAGTATATGATTTTGTTCAATTCTTCTACTATTCTATCACTCTTCTATTCTATGATTATTTTATCTCACAACATCATTCATCGCCATCTTCTGAAAGCCTACCGGCTTCGCCATTTGTGCCAAAGGCTGGGTGCATGTGTAGTTCAGTGTGAGAGAGAAGTTGGGGTGGGGGAGTGCGGTTCATCGGCCTGGATCCACAAGAGAAGCTTCCATTTGAGAAGTGCAGTTGGGATTCGTCCGCCAGTGATGCCCTCCGAGCTTCTCTGTGATCTGAGGTCCATGGCAGAGGTACGCCCCCCATATTCGCTGTGCTCTGAGTGTGCTCTGGCTGTGCTCTGGGAACTTGGGGGAAAACGCCTGGGGTGGGGATGGATCCTGCTAGGGAATCGAGTTGATAGCAGGACGAAGTTCTTCGAGGCTCTCCAAGGAAGGTTTTTGGGCAGGAAAACAAACAGGTGGCCCATGGCCTCGACTCTTCGTGGATGCGCTCCTTGAACACCAAACCCTAAACAACCCGCGCGCAGAACCTCTGCAAGAACTTGGTTGTGGCCGCATCTGCTGTGGAGCACGAGGCCATCGAGCGCGATCGCACTGGTGCTGGGATCCCGGCGGGCCTTCGAATGCGGGAGCTTTTACTGTATCAATTGCCCGCTTATGTGTTGGTACATTGCCAAACTAGAAGGAATTGAGGCATCGATACCACCAGGGAACCATGCTTTGGATCGGCCCCCCATATTTGCTTCGTGTGTTTGGTTGGCGTTTTGTGGTTCGGTGCTAGCCTCAACTCGAAACCCCATTCGGGTTTAGGGTTGACGGTTGAGGGTTGGGTTTCGGGCTTAGGGCATCAAGCCCTGAGATTGCTCAAGCCTTCGAGGCTTGAGGCGTCCGTTTCGTGTGTAGCTGGAGTCTAGCAGGCTGTTGGGTCACAATCATGTGCAATCCACCCTTCCTGCATGTGTTAGGGTTTAGGGTTTAGGGTTTAGGGTTTAGGGTTTAGGGTTTAGGGTCTAGGGTTTAGGGTTTAGGGTTTAGGGTTTAGGGTTTAGGGCTTAGGGCTTAGGTTAGGGCTTAGGGCGTAGGGTGTAGGGTTTAGGGTTTAGGGTTTAGGGTTTAGTTAGGGTTTAGGGTTTAGGGTTTAGGGTTTAGGGTTTAGGGTTTAGGGTTTAGGGTTTAGGGTTTAGGGTTTAGGGTTTAGGGTCTAGGGTTGAAACCCCAGCAAGCTGCAAAAACCAGCAGCCTCAAAGGATGTGCCCGCAGCTCTGCTGAAGTACGAGGAGTGCCGCCTCCCGAGCATGATCGTCCGAGTTACCTTTCCATGAATTGAACAAGTCCCCGATATGGGGTTTCCGAAAAGAGGGGGACCCTTTTCGGGGGTTCCTCTAGAAGGATAACGCTATTTTGGGGGTATGATCAATACGCAACCTCACCTCGCCCTTCATGATACGGACAAATCCCACAAGGTGTTCTTGGATTTAAAGAAGGTATAAAGACGTAATAAATAGCTTGAGACCCCAAAGCGGTAGAGGTTGAGTAGAGGTTGAGCCCTTGACCACGAGGCCCAGAACTTCTTGAGGTTATCGTAGGTGCAAGCAACGCTGTGAGCCATTCAGTGTCAACCTCTTTGCCAGCCCAGTGCATTCCAAACCGATCAGTGCACTGCGCATTTTGCCAGCAAGAGTCTGCACTGCACCCTAGATAGGTCAATGTTGTTAGGTATGCAGACGGGGAGGCTTGGGCTGCTGAAAAGCGCCATGGACTGCGAGGAGCACAGGTCAAACCTGCCACGCCAGCAGCCGGATCCCCCTGTCCAATCCGCCTCATCTAGTCAAAGCCTTCCGCAGAAGCGCGCCATCGGCGCCCTGCAGAGAGAGGGCACCAGGCCGTGGAAGCGCCATCAGTCTTCGGCGCCTGCTTCAGCAGTGTCCTTATCTCCGGATCCCATGCAGGCTCTGCCGCAGGAGGCGGCATTAGCACCATCTGGGCTGTCACCTTTGCACCCATCAGCATTCTCAGTACAATCAGCAGCTGCCCCCAAGGTGAGGGATATGAAATCCGGATCGCATGCGCCACCAGCTTTGGTCATAACGCCAAGGCCTGGGCCAAGACAACTCTTGGAGCAGGCGCCCAGCCCTGTTCTCAGGGTGCGGCCCGTTGTCACACCAAGACCAAGAGCAAGTCCTGGGCCAAAACAACTCTTGGAGACCTCATCGGTGCCAAGATCGCCCGTTTCAACAGCTTCGGGCGAGGTCACAGTGTCAAGGCCGAGTATGAGACATCCGTTGGAGTTGGCACCCAGCCCTGTTCCCAGGGCAGCAGGATCGCTTTTGTCCGCAGCTTCCAGTGTCGCAACGCCACAGCCTGGGGCTGAACAGCCATCGACCCCCAGCCCTGCTCCCAAGATGAAGGGCACGGGATTCAGATTTTCAACGGCGCAGAATGTATGTGGCATCAACTACAAGACCGAGTTGAATAGTTTTTTAACGTGGGGGCCTTAGCTGCAAAGCGCTCAGCCCCCGGTGATGTTGTTGTTGTGCTTCGTGTTTGTGTTCAGCTGTTGTTGCGTTGGTGCGGGCAGGATAAATTCACACTAAGGCTCAAGTACAAGCACTTGTGTGCTGGAGAAACGTGCCGAGCGCATAATGTACGTTAGGCTACTTGCCCGTGTTGACACCCGGAGCCCGATGGCACTTGAAGGTGATGTAGGATATCCGGGCAGACTCTAGCAGACTTGAGTCTTCGAACTGTTGTGGCAAGCCGTCAGTGGTGATGGAGCGCAGCCTGGACATAATCACAGATGATGGGTCCACTTACGGTTTATGCAACAGACGTGAAAGTGCACATGCGGTAGAAATCTGCACGACGTGCTTGCAAAGCCTACCTCACATACCGAAAGACTTCTTGTCGGGCAGAGCATGTTGCTCATTGCGAGCTTTACATCCGCAGTTGATGCATTACAAGTCAAGACCTCGTCACAGCGACACGGACAGGCAACTTCCAGATAGTGAGTTGGCTGCGAAGTTTTCGAAGAAGACCTCCAGGCCCCTCCTACAGCACTTGACGTGCAACGCGAGAACCTGGAAAACATTTGCGGAAGCCAAAAATTGGAGTGCTAACAGTTCATGGCACATTGTTACTTTGCTTGGTCGAGTCATTCAGCTGGTTCAGAGGAAAAAGAAAAGGAAATGACAACTTCGGTTCAGGTCTACGTAACGAAATGGCATGAGTCAAGGAAAATGCACACCAGCTCGCTCGATTTGTGACATATCGCGGACGACAGCTTGAGAATGGCAGTCGAGAGCGACTTCGTTTCGTACAGTATTTATCGGTCACCCGGTCACCAACTCTCAAAGGATGTGAAGGTTTTTGGGTGAGTAAAATAGACTCCTTTTGAAGTACGGGCTATCTGCCACAACTACCTGACAATACAGGATAGTATAGGTGGCTTGGGTAGCCCTCGCAGGCAGGACGAGCATCCTCCCAAACATGCCGCCCCCCTCCCCCCCGCCCCCAGATCAACAGATGCGACAGCAGACAGCATAACGAAATAGGCTGTATGCATGTTCAAGTGCCCGTTTCGGAAGCATAGAAAGGCAAGAGAGAGAGAGAGAGAGAGAGAGAGAGAGCGAGAGAGATTGTGATTCTGAGAGATTGACAGAGAGAGAGAGAGAGAGAGAGAGAGAGAGAGAGAAAGAGAAAGAGAGAGAGAGAGACAGAGAGGGAGAGCGCGAGAGAGAGAATTGAAAGAAAGAGAGATACCGAAGAATTATCAAGGTAATTACGTTAAGGCTAATGAAAAGAGAGATACAAGCATCGTGTGACGAGAGAGCGAGACAGAGAAAGAGAGAGAGAGAGGCACAGATACAGTCGGGCAGAGCGAGAGAGAGAGGAAGAGAGACAGAGAGAGGGAGAGAGAGTGAGTGTCACGGGTCTGTGAATGCGGCAAGCTAAGTGGGAAGTACGCAGCAAGCCAAGGAGGGAACTCGCAAGGCGTGCCGTGCCGAGTGTGTGAATTCAGCAAGCAGAAGGAACCAGAAACGAGGCATGTTATGGGTTGCCCGTCGTGTGCCGGGAGTCGGGAGTGTGCCGAGGAAGCTTATCGGACCGAATGTTCGTGAGTCGCGAGTAGGTCTTCAACGAGATCGTCTTGGAGATCATGAGCTAACGGGGAAACCACACGAGGCGTGTCGCGGCCGGTCTTTGGATGTGGCAAGCTAGGGGTCTCGTGTCGTGTCTGGGTCACGTCTCGCATCGTGGCTCGTGCTGTGCGTCGTGTCGTCTCGTGTCGTGTTTGCAGTAAGCTTTGGAGCTTTGACAGTGCCTGCACTGGCCCTTTCATGGCAACTACCTGGCCAGGAGCTGGCTTCATATTGTATGTACAATTATGGTCAAGGGTCCGGATTAGTAATTATGAGCTGCTCATCATCAAACAGATTGCTGTGTGCCACGAGTCAAGTTGTCCTTTATCAGATCACGATGTCGCGAGTCTGCTTTGGTGTTCGTGGCTCCAGGTTCAATGTTTGTTTTTTCGTGCGCATGCATAGCAACAGCAGAACCTCTGCACTGACCAGGGCGTTTTGTTGAACATTTGTGTGTGTTGCCGCGTTTCTGCGGGACATTCGGACGGAAGCGACGACGGGGACTGTCATTGGTTGAGCTTTGGAGCCCTTGTGCGTTTTAAATCCTAAGCCGCACTTCCCCACCCTAACACTGCTGCGCGGGGCCCTTGTTTTTTTCAAAAGAATAGAGCGCAGCGGGAAAAAAGCCGGCTAGAGCCAGTTCCGTAGTACGGTCACGAAGCCAGCAGCGTTACATATGGTTACAGGAAGCAGGTTGCCTTCTCAATGCACACGCTGAGGCGGTATTTCCACATGAAGCCCGGCGAAAAGAGTCCTGCTGTGTACACTACCATCGGGTTGGGCAAAGACGATTTTGGCCGAGAGCAGTTCCAGAGCACCTTGGCTATCACACGCATGACCCCCAAGGTGTACACGGGCGTGAACTGCAGGACCAAGAAGGGTGCAGAGATCTCGGCAGCCATGGCTTTCTTCGAAGATGAGATAAACCAGGAATTGCTGGAAAACCTGGAGCCGTCAAACAGAGTTCATGTTTCGTTGAGCAAGGCCAGATTGAAACTGCTTTGGGCACGCAAAGCGGCTCAAGCGCAAGCAGATCAGGCTCGCAGCAGTGGCCAAGGCAGCGCGCCAGAGTCATCAGCCGGCAAATGCCCTCCGACTTCTGGCTAGCTGTATTCATGTCTTTGGTACTCGTAGCCTGCAAATGATGCACACAAGTGAAGGGCACGGGGCATGCCGATATGTCAACTTCAATACCGGCCAAGCTGAGCCTATTCTTGGAAAATCGCTCAAAGGAAGTTTGGAATTGGTTGACAATCTACCACAAATCCCTAACCCAACCCTAGATCCTGAACCTACAACTCCTAAGCAGGGTTTAGGGGAGTTGGTTTTAGGCAGGTTCCGGTGCTTTAGCATCAATACGCCATACATAGATCCAGTACTGATATGATCCTTGCGCGAACCTGAAAGCACACACATATATATATATATATATACATGGTGCAGCGTCGCCGCCCCCCCCACCCCCCCCCACCCCATGGCACCCACCCCCCCCCGGTGGGGTGGTGTGGTTGGGGTTCGGGTTGAGGGTTAGGGTTTAGGGTTTAGGGTTTAGGGGTTTAGGGTTTAGGGTTTAGGGTTTAGGGTTTAGGGTTTAGGGATGGTTTAGGGTTTAGGGTTCAGGGTTTAGGGTTTAGGGTCCCCGCCCCCTGTGGTTTGGGCCTCCCTGTGGGGTGGTGTGGCTGGGGTTTGGGTTGAGGGTTGAGGGTTGAGGGTTGAGGGTTGAGGGTTGAGGGTTGAGGGTTTAGGGTTTAGGGTTTAGGGGTTTACGGTTTAGGGTTTAGGGTTTAGGGTTAGGGGTGGGGGGGGGGAGGGGGGGGGGGGGGGGATAGCATGGGGGAGGGGGGGGGGGGGTGGGGGTACCGACACGGGACACGGAACCATATATATATATATGTATATATATATATATAATACATATCTATGTATATATTGTACATGTCACAACATTGCAGACCCGACCCCACACAAACTGCAAGGCCAGTCGGAGGGCCTCAACGCAATCTGACCGGCTTGGAACCACAATGGTCCAGCAGTCAGAGAGCGTTGACATAAGGGATTCAAAGGGTGTGAGTCTTCGGTCTTAGGCTTGTTAGGGATAGTCTGGGTGCCTAGCAGCCACAACTCGGGTTTCTTCGCTTTTGGGGTCCATGTTCGCCAAATGTGGTGAAGCTGTCGTCGTTTTTGGGCGTCCGTGTTCGCGCCAAATGCGACACTGTCATCGCTTTAAACATGCCATCGAGCGGATTTGCTTGCAGAAGCACGTCTTCGCGGAAACTGACTTGGAAGATGTACGCTTTGTGTGTGTGAGTGTGTGTGTACGGCATGTCTAAACACTGCGCAGCAACGGGCTGCTGGCAACTCAGATGAGTATGTATTGAATTGGGCGTTCCAGCACCCGGATTCCCAACCGCCATCTCGGCGAGTTCAGGAACACCAGGCTTTCCCACAGACCTTGCGGCCTTTGACGCGAGCTCGGCGGAAGCTCGGCGGAAGCTGCGCGGCAGGCCATGTGTCAATGTCAAGGCCCTGGGCCTTTCCATTTGAGTCCGCACTCTTGCGAAACGTCACCTCGGCTTTGTAAGCTCAAGCAGCTAGCGCGCCAGAAAGTCTGTCGTAGATCCCCCTGCCCAACCTATCACCAACAAACAGCCTTACGCACGTTCCGATTTCTATTTAAAAAACCTACTCACGGAAGCAAGCTCCCAAAACGAGCTCGCGGAAGCGTCCGCGGAAGCAAGCCCCCCGGACCTGTAGAGCCAGAACTCGCGGAAGGGTTTCGAGGAAAGGTTCTGCATAAGGGCTCCTTATTTCAATGAGTTTCACAATGAATGGGGTCTACGCTGGCAAGATAACGAGGAACCTCTTGCCGCTTGAAACTCGAAGCCTGCAGCGCGCCAACCTTGACTTGCCGAAACTCTACGATGCTCCGGCTTTGCATCGTCACATAGACGTTGGAGCAGCGTCGCCGCACGGAAGCCCCAAAGCCGCCTAAGAGACCTCTAGAACACTGGAGAACCCTGCAGAACCGCACGGTCACAGTCAGCCCAGGCCGAGTTCGGAGGCACCGACCAAGGCCCCCGCATCTTTGCAGGCTTGTAAGCTGTAGCCTGCAGCCGACGTTGGCTTAAACTCGACACCACAAACCCTACAAACCTTTACAGCTCTAAGCCGTGAGCAGTGAGATTGCCCCTCTGAGCCCCATAAACCCTAAACTCGTGCAACTAAATCAGATGAAGGCCAGCCGGTGCTGGCGAGCGTGTTGGACAAGTGCACGGCTCGGAAAGCGAGCCCCGCCCCCTAAACTCCTAAAGCCTTGAACTCTAAACGACAAACCCTAAACCCCCAGCACCCTGTAAAACCTCTTAAACGCCTCAACAGTGCCGGAAATGTCGGGGGCATTTCATGGGCTTAGGTATTCCTGGTTTCAAGGTCGTAGGGAAGAAAACCCCTCGCACAGTGTAGCTCAGTATTGAATTTTGGATTTTGGGGTTTGGGCTTTGACGTATCCGAAGGTTCAACATCGACAAGGCCCACGTTGAAATGAGGCTTAAGCCATTGAGTCGTAACAAGCTTTGTCTTCTACCTAGCTGATGTGACCCTTTTGCTCTCCTTGTCTGTGGTCAGGTGCTCGGAGTGAATCCGGGGTCGAATCGGGGGGGTTGGGTTTCCATCCTTTCGATATAGCCCGCGAAAACGTGTCTTGGGGAGGGGGGCTGCAAACTCCGATCCTGGGGGTCTCGGAAAGTGGTTTTTCGTGCGAACCCGACCCCCCATTTCGGGGTCGAATTGGGTGGCACAGTCATGGCAAGCCCAGAGGACTTCGAAAAGCCCTACGGACAAGATGCCCAATAGACCAGAAAAGTACCCCGTAGTTAAAGATTTGTTGATTGTCGAGAAAATCTAACTCCTGCGGCACTCACGGCAGCGAGCAAAGACAAAAGTAGACTAAAGAAACGGGGGGCTCAAAAACAGACTTGGGGACCCCCTACCTAGATCCCAGAGCCTATTTGTCTGTCCACGTTTTTCTTTTACCAAAAAGGCACGAAGAGTCGTTGCTGAGGCAGCTCGTCCACGAGGAGCAGTTGATCGCGACCTTGGGTGAGACCGTATGGTGGGTCGCCACCTCGTAGTACTTTTGGCACATTGAATCCTTCAGAAGCCCCCCCCCCCTGGCTTTCTGCAAGTGCAAGTGGTCCTGAGTTGAAGAACCACGTGGAGAAGCAGGGGGAGCGCATGGCGCAAATGGAGGTGCACATGCCGTGATGAATGATGGATGTGATGGTGAATGGGCTTCTGAGTCCCGTTGTTCTGTCTCAAAGTCGATGGAACACGCGTGAGATACCTTGAGTTGCTTGCAGGAGTCCCTGGAACAACAGGCCAGGGCGTGTTTGTTGCAAGCGTCTCCAACGTATGGCACATGGCTTCGAAGGAAGGTGATCGTTAGATATCGTTAGTAATTCTACTCATAGCTGTACTCACAGAATCAAATCAAGTTGATCTTGGGAGATGTTGCGAGTTGTTAGTGAATGTTGCCATGCACCTTGAGCGGAGAGCAAAGACGCTCCACTTTCAGACAAGGCGGCTCACATCACTACCCTGGAGTTTGATTCCGCACCTGCAGCTGGCTTGGACGCGTGGTTTTACAGGGCCAGGGATTGTAACCTCTTCAAGTTCCGTCGATGTCCAGAGAGTCTTCCAGGCCCCGAAGAAGCCTTCTCTGGCAGTGCTTGCTGCGCCCGCAAGCAAGGCTGCAGCCCGAAGCCCAGTGCTTTTTTATTTTATGATTATTATTATTATTATGATGATTATTATTATTATTACTATTTTGTTATGTTTTTTTTTTGGGGGGGGCCTTTCCCGATTCCCCTTTATGGACTTTCTTCTGCGCTTCTAAGTTGAGTATGCTCCGTGCTTCGCCAGCGGGGGGGTTATAAGGTCGCCCAGAGCCACCTCGTGGGGGTGTTAGGGGGGAAATGGTTGCTAGTTGAGTCCGCTCCATTCTTCGCCACCCAGAAGGATCTCCTAGGGGTGTCAGGGGGGATATGGATGCTAGTTGAGTCTGCTCCGCGCTTTGCCAGTGGAGGGGTTACCCAGAACAACCTCGTAAGAGGCTGGGGGAAATGGGTGCTAGTTGAGTACGCTCCGTGCTTCTTTGTTAGTGCTCCGTGCTTCACCAGTGGGGGGTGGTTACCCGAGTGATAGTCAAGTCCGGAAAAGTGCCCTGGAGTCAAGCCCGCTGAGTCGAGAACATGGTGCACCATGTCCGAAAACAAGCAAGACCCCTGAGCCGAAAACAGCCTGGACCCAAACGCAGAAAACACATGCAGCAAACCTGAGTCGAAAACAGCCTGCGCCCCAGCCAGAAAACTCCACCCCTGCTGCTCTCCTCTCCTGCGGTTCTGTTCTGCCTGACGAAGCCATGGGTTTTTTGGGGCTTAGGGTTTTTAAGGGTTTAGGGTTTTGCAGGGTTTAGGGTTTAGGGTTTGAGTTTTTTTTAGGGTTTTGCGGCTTAGGGGATTTTGGGTCGGGAGTTTTTAGGGTTGAGGGCTTCGGGGTTTTTAGACGGTTTTAGGGTTTTGGGGTTTTTAGGGGTTAGGGTTTAGGGGTTTTTCAGGGGTATTTTGAGGGTTTAGGCTATAGCGGTTAGGAGGTTTTTAGGGTTAAGGTTTTCTGCAGTTCAGAGTTGGGGTTTTTAGGGTGTAGGGCTAGGGTCTCAGGTCTTTTAGGTTTTAGGTTTAGGGGTTTTCAGGGTTTAGGGTTTAGGGTTTAGGGTGTTTTGTAGGGTTTAGGGCTTAGGTTTTTTTTTAGGCGTATGGACCTGTCTGAAAGGGATCGGGATCTGTCGCGGCTGACATAGCGGGGGGAACACAAGCATGCTGGGCTCAAAAATAACAAAGCGGGGGGATTACGGGGGGCCGCAGCCCATTTGCAAACACAATGCTCGCATGATGGGTTTTGAAAGCAAACAGTTCTGAAGCAAGCTTGCAAGGCTTAACAAGCGGGGGGCGGGGTTGGGGCAGCCCCTCCCATTTGCAAACACAACACTCGCATGATGTGTTCGAAAAAGACTAAAGCTTACTTAAAGAACATGTTCACATCTGCATCCTACACGATTCGCTGTGCAACAAAGGTTCTTGGTCAGGATCCTCGAGACGTCCGACGTGCATAGAAAACGATAGGGGTGTATCGCCCGCATGCTCGTTCTCGACCTTTAATATCTACGTTCACATCTCGAAACAATGTACATGTCTAGTCTTCTATGACAGCTTCAAAAATGCATCTCTTAACGTTTCGTTGTAGAGGTCAACCTTTCTGTGCATTGGGTGGTTTTCTGATTCAGTCTCTGGTTTTCTGACTCGTCCGGGGCTTGGTTTTCTGACTCACGCCTTTCCGTTTTCTGACTCGGTCCTCCCGGTTTTCTGACTTGGTCCTGTGCGTTTTCGACTCGTTTTCCCGACACGACGGTCACCCGCCTGTGGTTACAGATAACCACCTTGTGGGGTGATTTGGGGGGGAAAATGGTTGCTAGTTGCGCTCCGTGCTTTGCCAGTGGAGGGGTTACCCAGAACCACCTCGTGAGGGGTTGGGGGGGGGAAACATGGTTGCTAGTTGAGTACGCTTCGCCAGTGGGGGGACCCAGAACCGCGTCGTGGGGGGTTAGGGGGAGGGAAATCGGAAAAATGGTTGTTAGTTGAGTGCTTTGCCAGTAAACAGGAAGGGGTTGCCCAGAACCGCCGTGTGGCGTAACTCCTGGGCGACAGGGGTGTCGTGGTTGGGGTGTCGTGGTGGCTCCCAGACTTGTGCAGAGCTGTGCAGGTAACGTAATCCTGGCTCCCCCTAAGCCCTAAACTCCCTGAAGCAAAACATACTCTGCGTCCGGTGTGGCGTGTTGGCGGCGGGGGTGTCGTGGTGGCTCCCAGACCTGTGCAGGTGGCCCGAAACTCCCTCACGCAAAATCCGGCGACCCCGCTCATGGGGTCCAGCATCGGGGAAGCCAACTCACGCGCTTGGCATCCCACCCCCAACGCCTCCCCACACCCGACCTGCACCCCACCCCTACCGCCCTCCCCACCCGTCCCCTCCCCCCCCCTCCACCCCCCTCCAGACAAAAGCTCAAACCTCTGGTCCCACACCCGACCACCCCAGACCCTCGCACCCCCTGACCCCGCCCTTGCCTCCAACCCCTAGCCCCCCCTTACCCCCCACCCCCTCTAGCGCCCTCGGTGGAACATGTGCCCGGTACGCCGGCACGGCGCAGTGCAACGGCGTGGATTGACCTGCGGAATATAACACGTGTGCCCGGTACGGCGGCGCGGCGCAACGGCGCAACGGCGTGGTGTGACCTGACAGCTACGGTGGCGCGGCGCAACGCGTGGACAAGCCAGCAGCGCGGCGCAACAGCGTACGGCGCAACGGCACAAAGCAGACATTGATCCCGCCTGCGATGATACATCACAATTTGCTAGAATATAGCTCGCGCCAGCGACCAAAGAGCTAGCGTCATCACCAAACCCTACGAGCACCAAGGGAGGGGACATACGACAAACCTCTAGTGACTCTAGTGGCAAACAATCCTTAAAGCCCTATGACTCTCAAAATAAGCCTGTCTGGTAACATAACCGTGGCTCCAGAAGGGTTGCGAATTCGTTTCTGGCTCATAGAATGCTTGTAGTCCCACGAAGGGATAAACATCTCAATTGACATAAACAAAGACGTTCCAGAAGAAAGGGTGGTTACCCAAACATCTGAAACCCCACGAGCACCAAGGGAGGGGACACACGAGAAACTTCTAAGACCCGCAGGCCCTCTCAGCCCTAAACAAATCCCCCTTTTTGCATCCAAAACCCCAAACCACTTTTTTTTGCCAGGGGCTGTGAGGGCCTGCGGGTCTTAGAGGTTTGTCGTATCTCCCCTCCCTTGGTGCGCGTAGGGTTTCAGATGTTTGGGCAACCGTCTTTTTAGGGAACATGTTTTACTAGTCCCACGATGGCTCTATCGCGTACCCAAAAACTGTTCTGGTAACGTAATCGTGGCCCCATAACCTGCCCACAGTCCAGATGTTTCGGTAACCACCTTTTTTATGGAACGTCTCTGTTGAAGTAAATTGGATGTTTATCCCTTCGCGGGACTACAAGCATTCTATGCATAGCCAGAGGCGTATTCGCAACCCTTATGGAGCCACGGTTACGTTGCCAGACAGGCTTTTGGGTGTTATCGGGTTTTAAGATCTTTTTCCCTGGCGTGAAACCCTACGAGCACGAACTAGGGCCCTTTCCGGGGCACTAGAGGCTTGTCTTATGACCCCTCAGTCTCGATGCTCGTAGGGTGTAGTGATGGCGCGAGCTATTTGGTCACTGGCGGGAACTATTTTCGAACCTTTACGGTTTTTCACAACTTTGTTTGCTCTGCGAAAAGGTTCTAAGGTTTAAGTCTGGGGCATCGGGGTGGGGTCAGAGGTAAGATGTGATGTTTATTCCCAACTGCCGAAGGGTTGGGTTTCTATCTCTAGGCGGGGCGCCAAGAATCTCCCCGGAGGCCGGAACGGAACGGAGCGGAACGGAACGGAACGCCGGAACGGAACGCCGGAATGGAACGGAACTTGATCATCTTTATCTTGCTGGCTGTTGGGTTGCACAACTGGGTTAATTGTATGTACTCCGTTAGGGGATGTGGTAGGGTACCTATATGTGTACTTCCCAGAATAGGGGGTACCTCCTAATGTGCGTCAAAGTACTAGAATCCTCAGAATAGGAACCCTCCACAAGGGTTCAACCCTATGTTCGGTCCCTTTTGAGTTTCTTAGGGTTTAGGATAAACCCTGAACCTAAATCCCTGCTTCCCCACCAAGAGCCGGTAAGCCTGCAGGCCCTACATTGTGGGCCTTCAAGCAGTCACAAACTTAAGCCACAGTCTGATCCCTATACCCCAAGCCCCAGGCCCAAACCCCAGAGAACCACGCTGGCGCGTCCAAGCTGGGCGCTCGGTTGGGTTAGTTGTCTAGTTTAAGGTTTCGCTTCGGGTTTGGACACTTAAGATTGAACTTGTGATTCGGGATCATAACCACAACATTTCGAAATTTGCAGACGACCGCAGCGAGTGGCTACAAGGGCGTTCCTATGCAGTAAGTTCAAGAGTATGACAAGTGACAAGCAAGCGTGCCACAGCTGGCGCGAAAGCAGGTCGAGGACCTCAGACTGTTAGCAGCGCTCTTCCCAGATGCTGCTGCTCTAGCGCACCCCTTCGGCATGCAGGGCAACTGCAGGCCGTTCGAGACCTTATCCGGACCATGCACTGCAAGAGCAAAAATAGATCTGGCGTCTGCAGTTACAGGCGCCCGAAACACAGCACGAGTGGCATAGAAAGCTAAGTGCTGGCCAAATCCCAGAACTTCCCGCGACAAGAGTAGCCAACATGGCAATAGGATTTATCACTGGTGCATTCCTTGCGCCAGTGGCAGAAGGAGTATACAAAGAGATGAACAGATACAAGACGCTTAGCTGTGGCTATCGCCAGTATTCGAGAGTCGTCCAGGTATGTTTGTCAACCCGAGAAGTGAACCCTGAGCAAAGCCAGAAACGTAACCTTATACTTGGTGCGCTGACAAACTTCAGTTTTGTACAGCCTCTCGACATATATTGTGCATCGCCCAGCTGACCCAGGCATGCACTATTTCCATGAGATGAAATGTTGTGAAACAGTGTCTCCCTCCAAACCCCACAACCTTCCGAAACCCTAAAGGAATCCAGTGCTGCTGGGAGACCCTTGGCTGCCGCTATTGTCAGGAAAGAAATTTCAGGGTTTCAGGCATTTGCTGTGAAGGACCCTTACTTGCCGCAAGTAGGGCTTAGGCTTAGGGGCTCAGGGTGATGCCACGAGGATAAACTAGCAGATCCTCTGACCTGCTTGAGATGCCTTGAGGTTTCTCAGGCGTGCGAGAAGGTGTATGCTGGAGCGAAGGCCGTGAGGGTCCATTTTCGGATCAGGTTTGAGGAAGGCACTGGATTGTGATTGAACATGATTGAACCGAATAGGCTTCAGTGCTAAGGGCCGGGCTAAGTCGAACCTGCGCAGATGTTCACAGGAACAAAGGATAGAAAACTCGGGCTGATCACTGGGATGCTCTGTGGCCCGTCGCTTACTGGTGCCCAAAGTGCCACAGCCCCGCCGAAATCAAGGGTATTTACTCCAATCCGTTTGACATTTTTTTTGGCTCGTCGCGGCTTGAGCTTAAAGTGTGATCACCCGGGTGGGGGTGGGTGGGGGGGCTGGGGGGGATGCATTGGAGCCCTGGCGGGTGGGGGGGGGGTGGGGGGTTGGGGTGGGGGAGGGTGGGGAGGGGGTGAGGAGGGGCGGCTTGAATAGGGTTTATTTGGAAGCTGGCACTCGGGTTTTTTATTGCCATACACGTTTTCACGAGGGTACGCTGCTGTCACGTCAGTCGGACTATGGTGGCCTCAGGGATAAGAACCAGGTAGGACGAGCATGTACATTCCTCTTCTCTCTTCTCTTTTTCTTTTCAGCAATCTCAGCAGGGGCCTCCCATGCCCTGCAGAAGAAGAAGGAAGAAGAAGAGAGATGGAGTGTGAGAGAGACCGAGAAAGAAAGAACGAGGCCAAGAGCGAGAGACGGAGGGAAGGAGAGGAGAGTGAGAGTGAAGAGCAAGGTAGGAAAACATGTAAACTTTTCTTCTCTCTTATATTCTTGTTTTTCTTTAGCAGTCGAAAAACTGATATGGACTTGAGAAGTGTTTTTGAGAGGCTTTCTCTCTCCCGCGGTTTATGCTTCTCTCAATGCCTCGCCAGGTCATTCCCTCTCTCCTTCTTCATATCTCTTTCTTCGTAGTTCTTCCTTTTCATTCATCTCGCCCTTCTTCTCCTGTTACAATTCGACGAGACATACCACTCAGAAAAGAAAAGAAAGAGAGAGAGAGAGAGAGAGAGAGAGAGAGACAGACCAAGAAACAAAGAACGAGACCGAGAGCGAGAGCAAGAGTGACAGGGCAAGAAAACTGATATGGACTTGAAAGGGGGAAAGCCAAGACCCTCTCTCTCCCACGGCTTATGCTTCTCTCAATGTCTCGCCCTGTATCAGTCCCTCTCTCCTTCTTCAAATCTCTTTCTTTGTAGTTCTAGTTCTTCCTCCTCCTGTTCCAATTCTACGAGACATACCACTCAGAAAAAAAACACAGAAAGAGAGAGAGAGAGAGAAAGAGAGAGGCGTGGGGGTGGGGGCGGGGAAAACCCTTGCCCTCAAGCCCGCGGAAAAAGAGAGAGAAGGGGTGGGGAAGAGAGAAGGGTGAGGAGCATCGTGGGAAAAAGGTGTAAACTCCCCTGCTCTCCTATGTTCTTGTCCAGACAGAGAAACAGATCAGGGGAAGGCCAAGAGGCCTTCTCTCTCCCACGGTCTATGCTTCTCTCCATGCCTTGCGTTGTCTCATTCCCTCTCTCCTTCTGCAAATCTCTGGGAAGCTGATGCTCGGTTTTTTGTTCGGCGCAGGTGCCTCCAGGGGACGCTGCCTTCATCTCATTCCGCCTTCCCGTACCACTTTAAAAGAAAGTGAGGAGATAGAGAGAAAGCGAGACAGGGTCAGGGGGGAGAGAAGAGGTAGGAAGAACATGTAAATTCCTCTTCTCTCTCTCTCTCTCTCTCTCTCTCTTTTCCTCTTTTCACAGGAGAAGCTTGAGAGAGAAATTTGTTTTGCACTCATGCAAAAACGTGTCTTGCATAGAATTTACAGGATAAGCTTGAGAGAAAGAGACAGTTTTTGCACTCGTGCAAAAATTGTTTAGAATTCATATGACACGCTTGAGAGAAGGAGTGTTTTTGCACTCGTGCAAAAGCGTGTCTTGCTTAAAATTCACAGGATCAGCTTGAGAGAGAGAGAGAGAGACAGAGAGAGAGAGAGAGAGAGTTTCTGCATTCGTGCAAATACGTGCCTTGCTTTTCATTCACAGGATAAGCTTGGGAGAGAGAGAGATAGAAAGAGAGAGAGAGAAAAAAAGTTTTTGCACTCGTGCCAAAACATGCCTTGCTTAGAATTCACAGGATAAGCTTGACAAACAGAGCAAAAGATAGTTGTTTACAGTCGTGCAAAAACGTGCCTTGCCTAGAACTCACAGTATGAGCTTGAAAAAGGGAGCGTTTTGCACTCCTGAAAAAACATGCCTTGCTTAGAATTCACAGGACAAGCTGGAGAGAGAAAGTTTTTGCGCGCGTGCACTTTTCAAATGTTTTCGAAAACATTCTATCATCACTAATTTAATGAAAAGAATTAGTTAAACTAAGTAAACCAATTAAATCGAATTAGTTAAATCAAGGAAATTGGTTAAATTAATTAAACTAACTACACAAACTAATTCAATTAATAGCATAAATTCTTCCAAAATCTTAGGGGGACGGTGCTTGCGATTTGTCTCTTTTGTCCAACATCATAGGGGGGCGGTGCTTGCGACTTGTGCTTGGAAGCATAAATCCTTGCAAAATCATATGGGGACGGTGCGTGCGTTTAGTCTTTTGGGGGCATAATTTGTGAAAAAGATCTTAGCGGGACGTTGCTTGCGATTTGTGTTTTGGGAGCCTAAGTTTTTCCAAAGTCTTTGGGGGACGGTGTTTGCGTTTTGTTTTTTGGGGCATGTTTTTTCCAAAATAGGGGGACGATGCTTGCGTTTTGTCTTTTGGGAGCTAATTTCTTTAACGATCTTAAGGGGACGGTGCTTTCGATTTGTGTTTTGGGAGCTTAAGTTTTCCAAAGTCTTTGGGGGACAGCATGAAAAAAAACTAAAGATCTTAAGGGGACGGTGCCTGCGATTTGTCTTTCGGAAGCATAAATTCTTCCAAAATCCTAGGGGGACGGTGCTTGCGATTTGTCTTTTGGGAGCATAAGTTCTTTAAAGATCTTAAGGGACGGTGCTTGCGACTTGTGCTTGGAAGCAGAAGATTCTTCCGCAATCATAGGGGGACGGCGCTTGCGATTTGTTTTTGGAGCATAAATTCTTCCAAAATATTAGGGGGACGGTGCTTTCGATTTGTTTTTTCGGAGCATACATTCTTCCAAAATCAGAGAGGGCCGGTGCTTGCGATTCGTCTTTTGGAAGCATAATTCTTTAAGATTAAAAGGGGACGGTGCTTACAATTTGTGTTTTGGCAGCCTAAGTTCTTCCAAAATCATAGGGGGACGGTGCTTGCGATTTGTGTCTTGACGCCTAAACTCTTTCAAGATTTTGGATGGTGCTTGCGATTTGTCTTTTGGAGCATTTTGTTCCAAAATCCTGGGGGGACGCTGCTTGCGCTTTGTCTTTTGGGAACATAAATTCTTTAAAGATCTTAAGGGGACGTTGCTTGCGATTTGTCTTTTGGAAGCAAAATATTTCCAAAATCATAGGGGGACGGTGCTTGCGACTTGTCCTTTGGAAGCAAAAACTCTTCCAAAATCTTAGGGGGGCGTGCTTGTGATTTTTGTTTTGGGAGCATAAATGCTTCCAAAACCCGAGGGGGCCGGTGATTGCGATTTGTGTTTTAGACGCGTAAACTCTTTCAGAATCTTAAGGGGACGGTGCTTGCGATTTGGGGGAGATGAGGGAGATAATGGAGATGATGAAGAACATAAACGAGATGAAGAGATGATGAACAAGATGAACGAGATGAAGGAGATGATAGAGATGATGGGGTGGCGCCGAAGATTAAACATTTTTGAAGTTTTTAATAACTTAGACAATTTAAATCCTGACGAGGGCTCTGGGGGACACGAATTTAAATAGTTGAAATAATTTAAATATGTGGGCACCCCAGGTATTTAAGTTATTTGAGTTATTTAAATGCCGGACCCCCTCCGCCTCCAAGGGCCCTTTCTTGGATTTAAATTTTTCTGTTATTTAAATTCTTTCATTTCCACCCGAATTTTCATAGTTTAGAAAAAATTTAAGTATTGGGGCCCCTCAAATATGTAACAAACATACATTATTGAAATTCGGGTGGAATTGAAATAGTTTAAAGATAAACTAAAGAGTTCAAAAAATCACATAGTTTAAATAATTTAGATAATTTAAATCCTGGGGAGGGCCTTGGGGAGAGGGGGGCGGAATTTAAACAATTTTCATATTTGGGAGGCTTCAATATTTAAATTATTCAACTTATTTAAATTCCGACTCCCCCTTTCAGGACCCTTCCCAGGATTTAAGTTATTTAAAGTATTCAAAATTAGCTATTTTTCAATCTTTTAAACTATTTAAAGCATTTACACTATTTAAATGATTTAAACTACTTGAATTGTCTAAATTATTCAAATTATGTGGATTTTTCCAATGAATTAAATTATTTACAATATTTAAATAAATTGTTCAAACTATCTAACTTATTTACATTATTTAAAGTATTTAAACTATTCAAATTATTTTAATTCCGCCAGAATGTACATAACTTAAATAATTCAAAATCTTGTGGCCCACAATTTTTCAATTGTTTGATTTAAATAACTTAAACAATTTGAATAATTTGAATAATTTGAATAACTTAAAATGATTGAAATATAAATGTTTGGGAGGCCTCAAAATTTAGATTTTTTAACTTACTTAATTATTCAAACCATTGAAATTCAGACTCCCCCCACCAGGACCCTACCCAGGATTTACATTATTTAGCCTATTTACATTCTTTCTTTACATTCTTTACATTCTTTACATCCTTTACATCCTTTACATCCTTTACATCCTTTACATTCTTTACATTCTTTACATTCTTTACATTCTTTACATTCTTTACATTCTTTACATTCTTTACATTCTTTACATTCTTTACATTCTTTACATTCTTTACATTCTTTACATTCTTTACATTCTTTACATTCTTTACATTCTTTACATTCTTTACGTTCTTTACGTTCTTTACGTTCTTTACGTTCTTTACGTTCTTTACGTTCTTTACGTTCTTTACGTTCTTTACGTTCTTTACGTTCTTTACTTTCTTTACTTTCTTTACTTTCTTTACATTCTTTACATTCTTTACATTCTTTACATTCTTTACATTCTTTACATTCTTTACATTCTTTACTTCCTTTACATTCCTTACATTCTTACATTCTACATTGCTGTACATTCTTTACATTCTTTACATTCTTTACATTCTTTACATTCTTTACATTCTTTACATTCTTTACATTACATTCTTTACATCCTTTACAACCTTTACATCAGTTACATTCTTTACATTCTTTACATAACATTCTTTACATTCTTTACATTCTTACATCCTTTTATCCTTTACACATTCTTTATCCTCTTACATCCTTTACACATTTTTACATTCTTTACATTCTTACACATTTTTACGTTCTTTACATTCTTTACATTCTTTACATTCTTTACATTCTTTACATTCTTTACATTCTTTACATTCTTTACATTCTTTACATTCTTTACATTCTTTACATTCTTTACATTCTTTACATTCTTTACATTCTTTACATTCTTTACATTCTTTACGTTCTTTACGTTCTTTACGTTCTTTACGTTCTTTACGTTCTTTACGTTCTTTACGTTCTTTACGTTCTTTACGTTCCTTACGTTCTTTACTTTCTTTACTTTCTTTACTTTCTTTACATTCTTTACATTCTTTACATTCTTTACATTCTTTACATTCTTTACATTCTTTACATTCCTTACATTCCTTACATTCCTTACATTCCTTACATTCTTGACATTCTTGACATTCTTTACATTCTTTACATTCTTTACATTCTTTACATTCTTTACATTCTTTACATTCTTTACATTCTTTACATTCTTTACATTCTTTACATTCTTTACATTCTTTACATTCTTTACATTCTTTACATTCTTTACATTCTTTACATTCTTTCTTTACATTCTTTACATTCTTTACTTCTACATTCTTTACTTCTACATTCTTTTCTTTACATTCTTTACATTTTACATTTACATTCTTTACATTCTTTACATTCTTTACATTCTTTACATTCTTTACATTCTTTACATTCTTTACATTCTTTACATTCTTTACATTCTTTACATTCTTTACATTCTTTACATTCTTTACATTCTTTACATTCTTTACATTCTTTACATTCTTTACATTCTTTACATTCTTTACATTCTTTACATTCTTTACATTCTTTACATTCTTTACATTCTTTACATTCTTTACATTCTTTACATTCTTTACATTCTTTACATTCTTTACATTCTTTACATTCTTTACATTCTTTACATTCTTTACATTCTTTACATTCTTTACATTCTTTACATTCTTTACATTCTTTACATTCTTTACATTCTTTACATTTTTTCATAATTTACATTCCAACCGAATTGAAATAGTTTCAATAAATTTGAACATTGGGGGCACCCAACAATTTGAGTTATGTATATCCGGGGGGCGTCTAAAAAAGAAATACATTCAATAATGCAAAACAGTTCAATAATTTCCATATTTTTAAATCATTTGAATCCTGGGGACAGCCTTGGGGAAGGAGGATGGAATTTACACAATGTAAAAAATTTTACATCTTTGGGAGGCTTCAAAAGTTAAGTTGTTCAAATTATGTCAATTCCGACTCCCCCCCCAGGACCGTCCCCAGGATTTATATTGCCTAAGTCAACTAAATTCTTTAAAATATGCCCGAATTTGAAAATATAAATATTGGGGGCCTCCAAATATTCAAAATATTTACAATATTTCAACTCGGGGGAATTTAAATGATTTAAATAATTTAAAGAATTTCAATACTTGAAATAATTTAAACAATTTGCATATTTTCAATTTTTAAATAGTTTTAAATAGTTTAAGCAACTTACATAATTTAAACAAGTTAGATATTTTGAATAATTTACATCCTGGGGACAGCCTTGGTGAGGGGGGCTGGAATTTAAATGATTTAGATAAGTTAAATATTTGGAAGGCTACAATATCAAGATATTCAGAGTATCTAAATTTTTCAAATTACTTAACTTATTTAGTTTAGTTCGATGATTTAATTTCTTCAAACTATTTTCATTATTTGAATTATGTAATTGTTAGAGAGCCCACACGAGTTTAAATAATCTACATAATTCAAATATTGCGGGCCCCCCGAAGGCCTGAAGTGCTGTACTGTCCCAATCTGTTTCGGACACAGAAGCAACACCGTACTGTCCCAATCTTTGAGTTGGAGACCCTCAAAAGACTGGTTTTTTTGGAGTTTTGGGACAATACAGCGTTTTTGCTCCTCTGAGCCCAAAAAATTGGGACAGTACGGCGTTTTTGCATGCCTGGACCCAAAAAATTGGGACAGTACAGCGTTTTCTGAAGGCCTGAAGTGCTGTACTGTCCCAATCTTTTTCGGACACAGAAGCAAAAACACCGTACTGTCCCAATCTTTGAGTTGGAGACCCTCAAAAGACTGGCTTTTTTTTGAGTTTTTTGGGACAGTACAGCTTTTTTGCTCCTCTGAGCCGAAAAGATTGGGACAGTACAGCGTTTTTGCAGTTTCTATTTGCCCTGGGAGGCCCCTAAACCCTAAACCCCTAAACCCTCCGGTGTAGCCAGGGCACCTGAGGCAGGCAAAACTATAGCAAAAGTGTGGGCCTAGGGGGGGGGGGTACCATATATATATATATACATATACGTCATAGTAGGATCTAGCAAGATACATAAATGTCTCAGAGGGGAGTGCCAGGGCTTCTTGTTCGGGTTCATTGTTGGGCTTGGGGGTTTGCAGGCTTTGTGGTGCAGGTTTACAGGCAGTTGAACCGTGACCACCCCAGACGCCTGAAGCAGCGACATCGCCAGGCCCTCAGCAAGGCCAATGACACCATCCAGCAGCTGCAGGAGACACTCTCCAGCGAGAGAGAGGCACGCTCCACGCAAGAGAAGGATGCATCAGCCAAGATCCAAGAGCTCACTGAGAAGATCGCAACCTGGGAAAGGAAGCATGCCGCGGCATTGGAGGATCTGAAGCAGCTTCTGGCCCATTTTATCGCAGGTTTTTGTTTTGCGATGTGTAGCCCCTAAATCCTACACCGTCCTACACCCTTCTAAGCCCTCAACATCGCACCTACACCATCAAGCTCGGTCACTCGTTGCCATTAAAACCAGCTCAAAGACACATCCGGTTCTCGACCCTCCCTGCCTGTGCACCAACCAGAAGCATGGTTTTAGAGTTTAGGGTTTGGGGCTTAGGGCTACCGTTAAGCCAAATCTTGGAGGCTCAGGACCTAATTCTACACCTGGGAGCTCTTGTAACTAAAGGCAGCATGTCTTCCCATCAGTCAGCAATTACGACTTCGTGGAGCCGAAGCTTCAAAACCTAAACCCTCGAGCCCTAACACGCCCACACCCGAAGCCCTGAACCCTAAAACCCCAAACTTTGAAAACCCTAAACCCAAAACCCTGAAAGCCCTTTCTTTGGGGTTGACTTCCCCTTATGAACCCGAAATCAAACCCTCAACCCTCAACCCTAAATCAAACCCTAACCCTAAGCCCGAAACCCTGAACTATGGACCCTGTAGGCTTGTTACCCCTAAGCTGATTAAGGCCTGATTCCGAGAGTCCGCAAGGCCCGAACCCTCGACCCCTTGCACTCCTTTTCCAAGCCCAGGAAATCACTCCCGTACACCCTAAACCCTAAACCTAACACCCTAAACCCTGACCTCTACGAAGCCCAGAAATGCGACGATCCAGCGTCTCCAGCATGCCGTGTCCGCTGGCGACGCTGCGAGGGAGAACCTGTCGAAGGAAGCCGCGGAATGTCTCAGAGGGGCTTCTTGTTCGGGTTCATTGTTGGGCTTGCGGGTTTGTAGGCTTTGTGGTGCAGGTTTACAGGCAGTTGAACCGTGACAACCCCAGACGCCTGAAGCAGCGACATCGCCAGGCCCTCAGCAAGGCCAATGACACCATCCAGCAGCTGCAGGAGACACTCTCCAGCGAGAGAGAGGCACGCTCCATGCAAGAGAAGGATGCATCAGCCAAGATCAAAGAGCTCACTGAGAAGATCGCAACCTGGGAAAGGAAGCATGCCGCGGCATTGGAGGATCTGAAGCAGCTTCTGGCCCATTTTATCGCAGGTTTTTGTTTTGCGATGTGTAGCCCCTAAATCCTACACCGTCCTACACCCTTCTAAGCCCTCAACATCGCACCTACACCATCAAGCTCGGTCACTCGTTGCCATTAAAACCAGCTCAAAGACACATCCGGTTCTCGACCCTCCCTGCCTGTGCACCAACCAGAAGCATGGTTTTAGAGTTTAGGGTTTGGGGCTTAGGGCTACCGTTAAGCCAAATCTTGGAGGCTCAGGACCTAATTCTACACCTGGGAGCTCTTGTAACTAAAGGCAGCATGTCTTCCCATCAGTCAGCAATTACGACTTCGTGGAGCCGAAGCTTCAAAACCTAAACCCTCGAGCCCTAACACGCCCACACCCGAAGCCCTGAACCCTAAAACCCCAAACTTTGAAAACCCTAAACCCAAAACCCTGAAAGCCCTTTCTTTGGGGTTGACTTCCCCTTATGAACCCGAAATCAAACCCTCAACCCTCAACCCTAAATCAAACCCTAACCCTAAGCCCGAAACCCTGAACTATGGACCCTGTAGGCTTGTTACCCCTAAGCTGATTAAGGCCTGATTCCGAGAGTCCGCAAGGCCCGAACCCTCGACCCCTTGCACTCCTTTTCCAAGCCCAGGAAATCACTCCCGTACACCCTAAACCCTAAACCTAACACCCTAAACCCTGACCTCTACGAAGCCCAGAAATGCGACGATCCAGCGTCTCCAGCATGCCGTGTCCGCTGGCGACGCTGCGAGGGAGAACCTGTCGAAGGAAGCCGCGGAATGTCTCAGAGGGGCTTCTTGTTCGGGTTCATTGTTGGGCTTGCGGGTTTGTAGGCTTTGTGGTGCAGGTTTACAGGCAGTTGAACCGTGACAACCCCAGACGCCTGAAGCAGCGACATCGCCAGGCCCTCAGCAAGGCCAATGACACCATCCAGCAGCTGCAGGAGACACTCTCCAGCGAGAGAGAGGCACGCTCCATGCAAGAGAAGGATGCATCAGCCAAGATCCAAGAGCTCACTGAGAAGATCGCAACCTGGGAAAGGAAGCATGCCGCGGCATTGGAGGATCTGAAGCAGCTTCTGGCCCATTTTATCGCAGGTTTTTGTTTTTGCGATGTGTAGCCCCTAAATCCTACACCGTCCTACACCCTTCTAAGCCCTCAACATCGCACCTACACCATCAAGCTCGGTCACTCGTTGCCATTAAAACCAGCTCAAAGACACATCCGGTTCTCGACCCTCCCTGCCTGTGCACCAACCAGAAGCATGGTTTTAGAGTTTGGGGTTTGGGGCTTAGGGCTACCGTTAAGCCAAATCTTGGAGGCTCAGGACCTAATTCTACACCTGGGAGCTCTTGTAACTAAAGGCAGCATGTCTTCCCATCAGTCAGCAATTACGACTTCGTGGAGCCGAAGCTTCAAAACCTAAACCCTCGAGCCCTAACACGCCCACACCCGAAGCCCTGAACCCTAAAACCCCAAACCCTGAAAACCCTAAACCCAAAACCCTGAAAGCCCTTTCTTTGGGGTTGACTTCCCCTTATGAACCCGAAATCAAACCCTCAACCCTCAACCCTAAATCAAACCCTAACCCTAAGCCCGAAACCCTGAACTATGGACCCTGTAGGCTTGTTACCCCTAAGCTGATTAAGGCCTGATTCCGAGAGTCCGCAAGGCCCGAACCCTCGACCCCTTGCACTCCTTTTCCAAGCCCAGGAAATCACTCCCGTACACCCTAAACCCTAAACCTAACACCCTAAACCCTGACCTCTACGAAGCCCAGAAATGCGACGATCCAGCGTCTCCAGCATGCCGTGTCCGCTGGCGACGCTGCGAGGGAGAACCTGTCGAAGGAAGCCGCGGAATGTCTCAGAGGGGCTTCTTGTTCGGGTTCATTGTTGGGCTTGGGGGTTTGTAGGCTTTGTGGTGCAGGTTTACAGGCAGTTGAACCGTGATAACCACACCGGTGAATGCTCTCCCAACCAGGCCGCCCCACCAAAGAAGTCCACCGCAGCGCCGCCGCCGGCAAAGCATCCTACCGACGCGGCTCCCAAGGCCGTCACTCCATTTTGGCGAGCTGGTCTCTGCAACTTTTGACCCGGCCTCGCGCAGTGGACTAAGGACCTAGATAAACATGGACCCTTTCACTTTCCTAACCTCCCCTGAAGGCACCGCCGAAGGCACCTCCGAAGGGACCAGAGGCGGGGCACTGCACATGGCTTGGGTACTCAATACTGTACTTACTCAGTCATATTCGTTCTACAGGTTTATACAGATTCTCCTCCGATTCTACTCCGGCTATTCGGCGTGTTGGGAAGCGAGGATGCTTCCGTGTGCGGATTGTGCTCTTTGCCCCTCACGTAAAGCCGTCATCCGACTACAGCTGCGGGATGTTAGGGCATGAGGAACACGTGCGCCCATATGACTTGGCATTCGCTGGGGCTACACAACGAAGGTGGCTTCCCTCAAATGTTGTGTGTCCATGGGTAGGGGAGATTTCACGTGCACTTAGTTCAACTTCGCCGCTCGCATGGTATGCTGGAGGCTGCGATCCCGAAGCCTCCTCCAAAGAAGGCCGCTGCGCCTCCTGCAGAGGTTCCTCATGTTGTCACCATTTGCATCGTTGTGTCCATGGCTGCTAACTAAAGGGTCGGATTGTTTTATTAAAATTCTAGTGTCGGCTGTTTGCCTGCCCTGCAAGGTTGTTCCGAAGGCTGCAGAGGCACCCCGTCTGATTGAGGGGGGGTCTGGGGTTAGGTATCGCTTGTTCAACAACTGACTTTTCTCTGGGCGTATCGCTTCTGGGGGTAGGTATCGCTTCCACAGCAAATATGGCCCTTGGCCATACGGAGAAGGTCCTGGTTCTGGAATGCTTTTTCCTTCGTGTTCATCAAACCCACGCGGTCTTCAGGTTAGTTGGTAACCCACATGACCACCAGAACTCGGCGCCAACGCGCTAGACTTAGGAGAAGTTAGCTACCTGTGGCCTCAATACGGGGCCACAAGCCGTACGGCCCAAAGTCAAAACGAAGCCAGAAAAGGAACCATAAGGAACCCTAATTTGAGCGGTGCTCAAGACAATGTCCCAGTCGTGGCCTCTGGTGCTGGGGCAGCGTGCCACCCGCCGCTTGGATGCGAGGAGAGAAGGAGAGGCAGTGCAGAGGCAGCATCTCGAACCGAAAGCCCACCAGTACGCCCCAGAACCCTAAACCCCCGAGTCGGCAGAGCACAGGTTGGTGCGACTGCTCAGACGATGAGGAGCTCTGTCTGCAGTTTGTGGTCGTTCTCTTCATGCTTCGCAACCCTAAACACTAAACCCTAAACTGTAAACCCAACCCTTGAGCCCTAAACCTTAAAGAACCTAAACCCTAAGGCCCTTGACCTGAAACCCGTTGCCTTAAACCCGAAACCTTCAACACCTTAAACGCGAAACCTCGCAACCACAAACCCTAAAAACCTGATCCCATACAACGAAGCCCTGAAACCAAAACCCCAACACGCCTGACACCCCGCCTCACCCCCTCTTGAAGGCGAATCCCCGAACCACTGATGCGCAACTGCAAGCACCAAACCCTAACCTGGAACCACTAACCGCAAAACCCAATCCTTAAACCCAAACACCTAAACCTTTCCCTAAACCTACAGACCCTTCTTCTTAAACGCTCTCAACCATAAACCTTAAAATGCATGATCCCATGTAAACGAAATCGTCCAAACTCTTGAAGGCGAACCTCCAACACCACTGAAAACCACCACCCTCGACATCTTGAAGGCGAATCCCCGGGCCAGTGAACCCCCCCAGTAAACCTGATGATTGAAAGTTTCTCTCAAAACCCTCATTTCTGAATATTCAAAGCCCAAAACCCTGCAACCCCTGAACCTTATAATTAGGCGCTTTCTCTAGAGCCTTATCCCGAAATTCCTAAACCTAAAGACTCTTGAGCTGGAGTGCCTGAAGGTTATCCCCAAACACATGCGCCCTTAACGCAAAAAACCGCAAACCTTCAACACCTGTCCAAACTCCAAATCGCTACAACCTAATCCCTACAACCTCAACCTACAAACCGCCTTCAAACCTATGCAGTATCCCTGATTCCCTCCCAACCTGAAAGACCTGGGCCCTGCAACCTAGACCCTACACCCCAACTCCCCCCCACCCCCTCAAAAACTAAACGCAAGAAAGCGCAACAAGTTACTCTCAACCCAAAGTTTAACTCACACGCTATACAGTCTATTCCTATCTAGCCACAAACCCAAGAACTATAAGCTCTTAACCTTAACCCGCGTTTTCAACCCTTTAGCCCGAAAATCCCAAAGCTCCTGAGCCCTTCACGTGGAAACACCAAACCCTTACACCCCATAACCGAAACCCAAAAGCCTAGCTCAATGGCCGTTGAACAGCCCAAAGACTTAATACTTCAACCGGACACCTTAACGGGCGAGCTCTTGATGCTACTCTCTCTCTCTCTCTTTCTTTCTTTGGGGCTGGCTCTCTCTCTCTCTCTCTCTCTGTGCATCTGTTGCGGAACTGTATACATAGAAGTATATACACATTACACACATATATATATACACTTAATCATTTATATGTTTGCGTAGATGCACATGTATACTGACAAACACACTCGAGCCTGGATGCAAAGATGGTCAATGCCAAAAAAGCATGTGCACATACACATATACATATAAATCTAAAAACGATATATGTGTATATCTCATACATTTACATATATCTGCATATTCACATGCGCATAGATTCAATGAAAAAATCAATGTAGATGTTCTATTTGTTTAGTTTAGTTGATGTTGTTGTTTATGCAAACATACATAAAGATAAAACCCGTGCGGTTTAACAAAAGGGAAAAAGGGGTTTTCTACAGGGCTATGGGATTTATAGGGTTTATAGGGCTTCTAGGGTTTAAGTGGGTTTGGGGGCTTAGGGTCTTTACCTTCGAGACAAACTATGGCAAGCAGTGCCGAAGTCACCCCTAGGTCACTTGAACCTGAGTTGGAGACAAAACTGTAGGTTTGGAGCCTAGGACGATCCTCGCGGGTGAAGGGCCTGCGTCAGTCGAACCTGTGTTCGAGACGCACGGAGGGAAGCAGCGCCCACGGTTTAGAGCATGGTCCAGAAAATAGGGCGATTCTGACGTGCAAGCAAGGCGGAGGTCCTCCACCTTGCTTGTACGCCCGAACCCAGGTTCGCCTGTACAAACGCCGGGGGTTTTATGATGGAGTTGATTCAACCTACCTCCCGAACCCAGGTTCGAGTGACGTGGGCGCTGCTTCCCACGGTGCGTCTCGAACACAGGTTCGACTGACGCAGGCCCTTCACCAGCGAGGATCGTCCTAGGCTCCAAACCTACAGTTTTGTCTCCAACTCAGGTTCAAGTGACCTAGGGGTGACTTCGGCACTGCTTGCCATAGTTTGTCTCGAAGGTAAAGACCCTAAGCCCCCAAACCCACTTCAACCCTAGAAGCCCTATAAACCCTATAAATCCCATAGCCCTGTAGAAAACCCCTTTTTCCCTTTTGTTAAACCGCACGGGTTTTATCTTTATGTATGTTTGCATAAACAGCAACATCAACTAAACTAAACAAATAGAACATCTACATTGATTTTTTCATTGAATCTATGCGCATGTGAATATGCATATATATGTACATGTATGAGATATACACATATATCGTTTTTAGATTTATATGTATATGTGTATGTGCACATGCTTTTTTGGCATTGACCATCTTTGCATCCAGGCTCGAGTGTGTTTTGTCAGTATACATGTGCATCTACGTAAACATATAAATGATTAAGTGTGTATATATATATACATATATGTGTAATGTGTATATACTTCTATGTATACAGTTCCGCAACAGATGCAGAGAGAGAGAGAGAGAGAGAGCCCCAAAGAAAGAAAGAGAGAGAGAGAGAGAGTGGCCGGGGTCCTCCTAGGGGGGCCTCTTCGCTGGGCAGAAGAAGAAGAGTAGCATCAAGAGCTCGCCCGTTAAGGTGTCCGGTTGAAGTATTATGTCTTTGGGCGGTTCAACGGCCATTGGGCTAGGTTTTTGGGTTTCGGTTATGGGGTGTAAGGGTTTGGTGTTTCCACGTGAAGGGCTCAGGAGATTTGGGATTTTCGGGCTAAAGGGTTGAAAACGCGGGTTAAGTTCTTCACACGTGTTGGTTAAGAGCCTCCAGTTCTTGGGTTTGTGGCTAGATAGGAATAGACTGTATAGCGTGTGAGTTAAACTTTGACTTGTTGCGCTTTCTTGTGTTTAGTTTTTGAGGGGGTGGGGGGGAGTTGGGGTGTAGGGTCTAGGTTGCAGGGCCCAGGTCTTTCAGGTTGGGAGGGAATCAGGGATACTGCATAGGTTTGAAGGCGGTTTGTAGGTTGAGGTTGTAGGGATTAGGTTGTAGCGATTTGGAGTTTGGACAGGTGTTGAAGGTTTGCGGTTTTTTGCGTTAAGGGCGCATGTGTTTGGGGATAACCTTCAGGCACTCCAGCTCAAGAGTCTTTAGGTTTAGGAATTTCGGGATAAGGCTCTAGAGAAAGCGCCTAATTATAAGGTTCAGGGGTTGCAGGGTTTTGGGCTTTGAATATTCAGAAATGAGGGTTTTGAGAGAAACTTTCAATCATCAGGTTTACTGGGGGGGTTCACTGGCCCGGGGATTCGCCTTCAAGATGTCGAGGGTGGTGGTTTTCAGTGGTGTTGGAGGTTCGCCTTCAAGAGTTTGGACGATTTCGTTTACATGGGATCATGCATTTTAAGGTTTATGGTTGAGAGCGTTTAAGAAGAAGGGTCTGTAGGTTTAGGGAAAGGTTTAGGTGTTTGGGTTTAAGGATTGGGTTTTGCGGTTAGTGGTTCCAGGTTAGGGTTTGGTGCTTGCAGTTGCGCATCAGTGGTTCGGGGATTCGCCTTCAAGAGGGGGTGAGGCGGGGTGTCAGGCGTGTTGGGGTTTTGGTTTCAGGGCTTCGTTGTATGGGATCAGGTTTTTAGGGTTTGTGGTTGCGAGGTTTCGCGTTTAAGGTGTTGAAGGTTTCGGGTTTAAGGCAACGGGTTTCAGGTCAAGGGCCTTAGGGTTTAGGTTCTTTAAGGTTTAGGGCTCAAGGGTTGGGTTTACAGTTTAAGGTTTAGTGTTTAGGGTTGCGGGTGCCCGGTTGCTGACACGGCCTACCCAAACCCCATCTAACATCATACCTACGGGACCAACAAAGTCAGAGTCAAAAAAGATTCGGAGTCTCTTTTGCTGGCCCCTCTGATCACTTTCTTCTTCCAAGCCAAAAGCACGCCCGCGCACGAGGACGAGCCCAGCATCTCGGTACTCCTTGCGCGCGAGAAGGCAGGGAACGCAGCCATGAACGGAAACCAAAAGCCGTACTTCGTACTTTTGACATGAGAGTCAATATTTGAAGCCGCAGCACTGAAAGCGCAAGCCCTACTCACCACCAAATCCAAACGTGAGCAGCCATACAAAGCATGCACATCAACATGGTCATCACACTCCGGCTGGGACTTGAAACACAACTGCGGAAATTTGAGGTTCAATCACAACTTGGATTGTAACAAGGACTTTCTACATGGCATAGAGATCATAGAGGTGCACCTCGCCCCTCCGTTGTTGCCAGTCTAAACAGAATCTCACAGGCCCGAATGCCTCATCGCTTTGCTGCCGAGTGTGAGGGCCTCGGCTCTTTTGCGAGCCGAATGCTTGGGATTTCTGCGCCAGACACGGGATTGGCACTTGGGGTGCCTTCAGTCCCCTCTGTTCGTTGCCAGGCAGTTGGGGCCAGGGGAAGACAGGGCGAGGAGCGTTGAGGGGACGTGCTGTCGCTGTACGTTGCAGTCGTTGGTTGATGTGGTAGCTGTTCAAACTGCGGACTAGCGAACCTTCAATGTTGACGAGGGTTCCATCAGAGAGAGAAAGTGGGGAGAGCATTGGGGAGCTTGTAGTTTCGTCCGACCCTCTTCTATGACATCTCGCGCATTCGAGGCGACAAGGAAGAGCAAGGGCAGCAGATGCGTGTGGCACCCTCATTGATTTGTGCAGAACTGACAGCCTGAGAAGATTTTTGAAGAAGTTTTTCGTGGCGCTCAGGCGGCGCTCCGCATGGCCAGTTCCGTAGAGGAACTTGAGAGGGCCATCGCCTACGCCGAGGACGTTCGCAGCATTGAAAGTGTGTGGAAAGCACAACATGTTACCATGTTTATGCGATGTTTGCGCGATGTTTACGCAGGGATGTGACAGGGGTCCATGTCCGGGTTCCAGGAGCTGGGCCTCAAGCATGAAGCCAGCTTGGGAAGGCAGGGGTCCATCTTTGCCCATCTTTTCTTCTCTTGTTCGCTTTCGTCAGCACAGATCCGCTGAACTTCGACAGGAAGAAGCTTCAACGGCTTCAAAGCTGAGCCGCTCACATTCGCTTTATGGTACGTCGACTGGGTAGTTATATAGGGTTTAGGGTTTAGGGTTTCTTGTTTAGAGTTCAGGACCCTCAACCCTAACCCTAAACCCTAAACCCTAACCCCTAAACCCTAGACCTAAGTTTCATGGCCCCCCTTGGTCCCTTACCCTCTTTAAACGGTTCCGATGCATGTTTAGGGTTTAGGGTTTGGGGTTTAGGGTTTAGGGTTTTGGTATCGGGTATATCAGGGGTCCGGGCCCATACGAAGGGACCATGCAGCTCCCCTAAGAACTGTTGCTACATTTCGGGTCAGAGTTTAAGTCTTTAGCTGTTCAGGGTTTAAGGTCACCTCGAAAATTCTTCGCGTCGTGCCAAACTTGAAACCTAAATCCCAAGAAACCCAAACCCTAAACCCTAACTTAAAACCCTAAGCCATAAGCCCGGAAACCCAAAACCCACGAACCCATAGCCCAATCTTAAACCCTTTTAAGCCCACCAGCCCTCAGGCCATGAACTCTGAATTCCGAATTCTAAATGCCAAACAGTAGAACCCAAGAATGTAGGGTTCAAGGTTTTTAGGTCTATAGGTTTAATAGGTTTATAGGTTCATAGGTTTGTAGGTTTATAGGTTTATAGGTTTATAGGTTTATAGGTTTATAGGTTTAGAGGCTTAGAGGTTTAGAGGTTTAGAGGTTTAGAGGTTTATAGGTTTATAGATTTATAGTTTTATAGGGTTTAGCATGGTTTATGGTAAAGCACTAGCACCCCAGAACCCAGGGAAAGGGCAAGAGTCCTCTGAAAGTCGTCGCGGCCTCAGCTGGGATGTGGTTTAGGGTTTAGGGTTTAGGGTTTGCGGTTTGGGGTTTGGGGTTTAGGGTTTAGGGCTGGGACCTTGAATTTTTTTGGACTTCCCTTCCTCGTTGAAGAGGACCCTAGATCGGAACTCGTTTTTGAGAGGGTTCATGGGGTTCGATCTATTAATTCAGGCTGAGGCAATAGGCTAAGGGTTCAGGGTGTAGGGTTGGGTTAGGGTTTGGGGTTTGGGGTTTGGGGTTTGGGGTTTGGGTTTGGGGTTTGGGGTTTGGGGTTTGGGGTTTGGGGTTCGGGGGGGTTTTGGGGTTTGGGGTTTGGGGTTTGGGTTTGGGGTTTGGGGTTTGGGGTTTGGGGTTTGGGGTTTGGGGTTTGGGGTTTGGGGTTTGGGGTTTGGGGTTTGGGGTTTGGGGTTTGGGGTGTGGGGTGTGGGGTGTGGGGTGTGGGGTGTGGGGTGTGGGGTGTGGGGTTTAGGGTTTAGGGTTTAGGGTTTGGGTTTGGGGGGTTTAGGGTTTACGGTTTAGGGTTTAGGGTTTAGGGTTTAGGTAGGGTTTAGGGTTTAGGGTTCAGGGTTCAGGGTTCAGGGTTTAGGTTTAGGGGTTAGAGTTTAGGGTTTAGGGTTAGGGAGCCCTAACCCTGCTCCCTCAGGACCCTGCCAAGAAGGTTTGGATTGGCAACATCCCAGAGGCCGCGCTGGGGGTTTCACGTTCAGGTTCATTTAGGGATTTTAGGGTTTAGGGTTTAGGGTTTTCAAGAAGTTTGCGCGTGAGGCCAGGACGTCTTCAAAGCCAGTAGGCATACGTAGTTGAGGGTCTAAGGTTGACGCATTGGGGTGCAGCTGAGACGGGCGCATGGAGGCCTTTGAGGCTTAGGGCTTTGGCTTGTTGCGCACACAGTTCCCAACCGTATGCCCAAAACCCTATACTTCCAAGCCTCTAAGCCTTTGTCCTGGATGTTGGGAGAATCTGCAATTGGATATTTCCGCAGGGCGCGCAATGGAAGGAGCTTCAAACTCTGGTGGATGAGGCTCCCGGCACAGTTTTAGGGTTTGGGGCTTGGGGTTTAGGTTGTAGGGTTAAGTGTTTGGCATTTTGGTATTCGGTTTAGTTTCGTTCCAACTTGTGGCGTTTATAGGGTCAAGCGTTGAATTGCGTCGTGGTTTCGTTTCAATTTTCGTGGTGTGTCTCGCGGAAAGCGTTTAATTGCGTCTTAGTTTCGTTTCAGTTCTTTGTGGTGTGTTTACGGGAAAGCGTTTAATTGCGTCTTAGTTTCGTTTCTTTTTGTGGTGTGTATAGGGGAAAGCCATGGAAAGCGTTGAATTGCGTCTTAGTTCCAAGTCAAGCAGCAACAAGCGCAAACGAGCTATCCAGGAGGCCCTGGATTTGTTGCAAGGCATGGCGCCCCACGAGCGCTCTGCCTAATGGCTGCTCATCGTAAGCGCAAGAAGAGGGGCGCGCCTAGTGTCCCTGAACTTAAGGATGGTGGTCTTAGGATAGGAACCCTGAACGTCAGATCCCTCCTAGGGCGCATGAGTGAGGTTTTAGACCTTGCCCAAAGGATGTCGCTAGACATTTTATGTCTTCAGGAAATTAGGTTGTCACCAGACAATTTGCTGGCCGCGCAACATGCCGCCAAACAAGCTGGATGGAAGTGGATCACGGGCTCGTGCGCCATTGACGCGCAAGGGGCCCCTACCGCTGGCGTTGCTGTTCTAGCTAAATGGAGTGTGGAACGTAGGGTTCTGCCCGACGAGGCTGTGTGCATTTTGGACAAATTCCCAGGACGTTGGCTCGCTTTGCGCGTTCACAGACCGCATATGCGACCTTTTGACTTGGTCAATTTGTATTTGCATGCTTCCAACAAGCAAGAAGCCAGACGTCTTGCTGAAAGTCTCATGTCTACTGTTGCGTGCAATGGTGAAGATGCTCTTTTCATAGGTGATTGGAATGCCACTCCCGAAGAGGAACCTGCCCTTGGGCCGCTCCGCAGTGGCAGGCTCCATCTTGCAGACGATGTGGCTGGGCCTCTGCAACTGCAAGGACCCACGCGAACAAATGGAAGGCACATCGACTATGCCTTGCACACCAGCAACCTGGTGCCGCGCAGCAAGCATCAGACGACAGGACCAGCTGACCACGATTTAGTCGTGTACACCTTCGAAGTGTTTAATGAGGAGCCCATTTTCAAGGTTGCCCCCCCACGCAAACTTCAAGCTCAAGTGCCCGTCCAGCCGGACGCATGGAGTCAGCATTTTCCACAGGACAGGTTTGACCAGGCACTCTGTGCAAAGGACGTGCAACACGCTTGGGACATTCTTAGCGATGCTGCTGAGAGCGTGCTTCAGCCCTGTCAGGGACGCAAGCGTAGTAAGATCCCCCGACCTACCCAACCCGCCAAAGCCCCTGTAAAGCAGGATGCACTTCAAAGCGTGCTGGAACGTAGACTGCGCAGGTTGCATAGGAGGCTGCTGGAGTTCTTGAAAGGTTCTGGCCCTTGGAGTCTTCTTTGCAACATACGTAACGACCTGCGGAATCTGTGCCATCGTTGTCCTGAGTTGTCAGAGTTTCAAGACCTGAACGAGGATCTTGCGCATGTCATCATGGGATGCATACAAAAAGAAATGCAGGCGGCCAAGCAAGATCGCCTGCAGCGATGGCAAACCAGCATGGAAGAAGATGACCAAGCTCTCATACGCTGGGTAAAAGGTGCAGATGCGTGCAGTAGCCCGGCTGACGATGACGTCCGGGTGCCTGTTCATCCACAACTGAAAGCTGAGTTCTTCGCTGAGCAGTGGAAGCAGGTTTGGAACCCCGATGTCATTCCGGACCCGGGTGAGGTTAATCCTTTTTTGGGTTGGGTTCCCCAGGGTGGGTTTAGTTGCCCGAAGCCTACCGTAACGGGGGCTGCCTTGAAGCACTGTGCCTCCAAGACCGTCGGTAAAGCACCCGGCGCTGATGGATGGATTGGCGAGCACTGGTCTTTGCTTCCAAACCCTTTCTTCGACTCGCTGGCTGCGCTATGGCAGCTCGTGCTTGAAGCGGGCGTTCTTCCTGAGCAATGGACGCGTGTTAGATGCGTGCTTATACCTAAAGACGTTGGTTTCCGTCCCATCAGTGTGGCATCTCTTGCCTGGAGGGTGGGAATGGGTGTTGTTCTTCAGCAAATGACTTCATGGATTGACGAGTGGGCCCCTGCTGAGCTCACCGGAGGTTTGAAGGGTCGCAGCGCCAGTCAAGCCCATGAGAGTTTGCATGAGAGTCTGCAAAACAGCACGCTGTTTGGCGCAAAGCTTGACATTGCTAAATGCTTCGATCATGTGAGTGTTCCGCAGGCCCTTCATGTGTGGCAGGTTCTAGGTGCACCAGAGTCTGTCACAACAGTGTTATCCACTTTCTACGCCTCCCAGGTGAAAACCATGGAATGGCAAGGAGTTTCCGCCAAGAATGCTTTTTCTTGCAAGAGGGGTCTTTTGCAAGGCTGCCCGTGCAGCGGTGCCTTGTTAGCAGGCCTGATGGCCACGTGGGTCCATCACCTCAAGGCTACGGGGCCAACCGTTCATTTTTCTGTCTTTGCCGACGATCGCACGCTTTGGTCCGATACCTTAGGCAATCTACAAAAGGCGGTCGCTGAGTCAGATATCATTGACAAGGTTTTCGGTTTTAACCTCAACGGAAAAAAGTGCGAATTTTTCTGCAAGTGCAGCCGCTCCAAAGCGGCGGGGCTGAAAGCGTGGAGCATCAGCTCAAACCGCAAATGGCCGGTCTGCAAGACTTTTAAGCTTCTAGGGGTTTGGTACAATACCACGAAAGCCCGAAGGACCCCCGTCAGCCCGCAAGTTCTTGCCAAGGTGACAGCGCGGTTGCGCCGACTGCGCACTGCAACCAAGAACCAGCGCAGAAAGCATGTGTGCGTACGGTCCTTGGTGATCAGCCTTTTCGCTCACACAGGTCCCTGGACTACAGTGAGTTAGAAAGTGCAAACTAAATGGCGATCAGCCATAGAGACCGCGATCCTTGGGCGGCTTCACAGTGGCAGATCCAGGTTTTTGGCTTGGGCGGCGTGCTTAGGCCCGGATTGTGATCCTGAATATGCGCTCGACTGCAAAGTCACACTTCACGAGCTATGGAGACTTCGCTGTGACCTTGCGGGCTTTAAGCAAGTCGATGAGTTGAAACGCTTGTCTGATGCTCCTCCCAGACTGCGCTCTGCCCGTTTTCTTGAAGTGCTCAGCAAGTGGCGTTGGCAGGCACTTTCTGAGACTCGGTATGACACTCCGTGCGGTGAAATTGACTTGCTTTTCGATGGAGCCAGGACCGTCAAAGCAGCCATGCGTGCCGGTTGGGAGCTCAATCTGTGGGCCAAGGAGCCGCGCGCTGGGCAGGTTGATCCTGAGCTTGCGCCCGTGATCAGGCAGCACTGTGCTTGGCTCACAAACAGTAATACCGCTACTCGTGACCTTTCCAGCTTCAGCGTGGCTCTAGGCGCTGGCAAGGAAGCCCGCAAGCTAGCTAAGCAACTTGAAGTCCCCTTGATCACCTGCGCATGCGGTGAACAGTGGCCGACGAGGCATCATGTGACGTGGCAATGTGCTGAAGTGCCCAGAGACACTGAAGCTCCCGAGTTGCCTTCGTGCAAATCTGAAGAAAGGCTTCTTATCAGGTGCCTCCCGCGCCCGCCCAGGCCTGCAAACCGACGTGATGAGTTCTTCGTTGCCAGTCAACAGATCGTTGATATGCTTCGGCGTTGCGCTCCCTTGACTGTTGGCGGTAAAGTTCTGATGGCCACCGATGGCAGCTCCAAGGTTCTCAGCGGGCAGAGGCGCGCCGCTGGCGCCTGTGCTTGTGCCCATGGCTCTCTGTCATGGGCAATGCAAGGTTGCGACCAGACAAGCTTCACTGCGGAAGCAGGGGGCGTCTTAAAGGTCTTCCAAGCTGCTCAGGCAGCCAGGGTTTCGGTGTGTCTTCTTTGTGACTGCCTGTCGGTCGTTCGGACTGCAGCTAAGGTCATGCGTGGAGGTCCCCTGCCTGATTTTGCTCCAGGCCTCTGGAAATCCATTGCTCTCACGGCAAATGGGGCGGAGATCCACTGGGTCCCTGCCCATGGCAAGCATCTGCAGTGGTTGCCCCCGCACAGCCTCGATGCGTCAAGGTGTCGCCAGCTCAATGATGTGGCGGATAGGTCGGCGCAGAACACGGCGTCAGAGGCCCTCACTTCGCTGACGTCATGGAAACACGATCAGGACCAGGCGGCTGCTTGGTCTCAAGCCGCTCTCTTGAGGCAGCGCTTTGCCTTGCGCTGGTTGGAGAGTCACGCGCGTTCCTCACTGCATCTCCCTCCCGATGCAGGCCCTAATCCTCGTTAAAGTCCCCGTGTTTAACTGTGCATGTCCAGGCTCTGCGTAGCAGATGCCCCGATGTTCCTGGAAGCCCGTTGTCGCCTTCCCCTTTTGGTTCGACCCGTGCCCTCTCTCGGTGCCCGTGTTTAAGGTGCCCCTGTGTTCTTTTGCCTGCGCCGGCCATGCCTTGGCCCTTGCAGCTTTTCGCAATCCGTGTTGCTCACGTCTTGCCTCGCCGCAGCGGAAGCAACGCCGCACAGTAACAACTTGCCAGGCCCTGCTTAGCAGTTGCCTCATGTGTCTGCAAATGCTTTCTCCGCTCGGTTTCAACCCGAGCCCGTCTTTTGGATCCCGTGTTTAAGACGCCCGAGTTTTCGCTCCGCCCCGCCTGTGCCGGCCCTTCCTGGGCCTTGCAGCTCTTTGCAAACCGAGTTGCTCACTTTGCCTTGCAGCAGCAGTAGCAACAGCTGTGCCGTAACAGCGGCCCGAACCCTGCAGCAAGCCACCCTCTGGGCCAAGGCTACTGCAGACAAAGCACACACACACACGTCTTAGTTCCCTTTCAATTTGTGGTGTGTATAGGGAAAAGCGATGGAAAGCGATTACTTGCGTCTTAGTTTCGATTCAACTTTTTGTGGTGCGTGTCCCCTCCCCCCACCCCAACCTCCCCACCACCCCCCCCCCCGCCCCATGCTGGTTCCCCCTTACCCTAAACTCACCCCCAACCTGAGGAATGCTGCACCAGCTTCACAAGTGCCTCAGACGGCATCTCCTTTCGCTTCTACTCCCCAAAATAGGCTAATACATGGCAAAGTACTATGATCCCTTTTTACAGGAACCCTCCATTCAGGAGTACAACCCTATTGTCGGTTCCTTTTGGGGATTTGGTTGGGTTTAGGGTTTAGGGTTTAGGGTTTGGGGTTTGGGGTTTAGGGTTTAGGGTTTAGGGTTTAGGGTTTAGGGTTTAGGGTTTAGGGTTTAGGGTTTAGGGTTTAGGGTTTAGGGTTTAGGGTGTTGGAAACGCCCTGAACCTGTAGCGTCTGCGCTGTTGCCGGTCGACCTGTGTGTTTTACTTTACATACATATATATGTATATGTATATGTATATGTATATGTATATGTATATGTATCTGTATCTGTATCTGTATATGTATATGTATATGTATATGTATATGTATATGTATATGTATATGTATATGTATATGTATATGTATATGTATATGTATACGTATATGCGAATAGGGCGCAGCTGCTCCTTGTTTCACTGTTTCACAATTTCGCCAACGTGGCTGCTTTGTCACCCACGGAACTGCTTCTTCCGCGCAAAAACTATCGCAGGCCCTAGCGAGTTTGAACCTGGGCCCTATAGGGGTTCAGGGTCAATGTTTAAATGCCCGAACCTTAAACCCTTAAGGTCAAACTCTATGGGTTTAGGCTAAAACTGCCTAAGTCTTAAACCCTAAACCCTTTAACCTTAACTCTACAGGGTTTCAAGGTTAGAGTTCAGGCTAAACTGCCAGCTTAGGTTTAAATGCCGAAGCCCTAAACCCTAAACCTGTCAACCTGAACCCTATAGGGTTTAAAGGTTAAGGGTTTAGGCTGAATTGCTTAATCCTATCGAGTTTCGGGGCTTCTCTTTAAAGCCCTAAACCCTTAACCGATAGGGATAAGAGAATAAGCCTTCGCCGGCCCCCTCTTGTTTATAAGCAAACTTAATGCTTATAAGCAATGTGACAAATGCTCTTTCCAACCAAGACTGGGTACTCAGATTGCCAACTCGTACATATTTCGAATGCTTAAACCTTAAACCCTTACGGCTAAAATGCTATGGGCATATTTTAAAATGCTTAAGACTTAAACCCTAAACCTTTAAGCCTTAGCCCCATAGGGTTTAAAGCTTAAGGGTTTAGGTTTAATTGCTGGCTTATGTGTGAATGCCCAAATCCAAAACCCGAAATCTTTCAACCTTAATCCCGCACCCTAATCATTCATGCTTGCTTTCGGAAAGAGCTTGGGTTCACAGTCATTTATGGTGATCGGGGCCTACTTTAGAAGGGGGGGGCCTTTGTGAGGATTGATGTGGGTTTGTAGGGCGGCTACTGGTTTAGGCTTGTAGTTCGTGGGGGTGTCAGTTGTCGATTGTGTGTCCGAAGCTCGTCAGCAACTGCTGCTGTGCCTGCGCCAACATGGTTTCATCAGTCTGGAAGCGGCAAAGTTGCAAGCCCGCAAGCTTGAAACATTAAACCTTAGAGCCAGAAAGCCTTAGAGCAGTAGAGCCCTCAGGAGCCAGATTGTCACACCCCGAGTGCACCAGCCAGAACCAAAAGCCTTCATAGAACCCTTATAGACCCTTTACCTATGTTTTACCCGGGGATCCAATCTCCTACTGTTTTATAAGGCCCATGGCTTGAGGGGCCACAGGTCGCGAAAAGCCTAACCCTTATAAGACCCTTCTTGCCTCCAAGCCTGGCCTTGTTCACGCAAACTCTTGGTTGTATTCCCTTCTCCTGCTGACTTGGCAAATGAGCTTACGGGCATGCAGCTCACATTGTTGGAAAACCGAATCAAGGTACACAGCACGTACGTTGTTTAGAGTGACAACAGTTTGATGCGGACTGTGCAATCTAGGACTCGACACAGCGTTTCCTTGGTACGTGTGTGTGAAACACATATTGGAAGCAATGTGTAAGGTTAATGTGTGAGGTGAGCAACATGTCCCTAACGACACCGGGTCGGCTGTTGACAGCGTGTCAGCATATGCTCGGCTTTGCTGGGAGGGAAAAGAATTCTAGCTGACACAACTGCTTGCCGGTGCGGTGCATTTGTGTCAGCCGAAGCAATATATTCGAACCGCCCCTGTCATACATGTTACACGTTGTGGTTTCAATGAGCAGTTACCATTCCGATGACCATTGATTGAATGTCGTATGCCTAGTGTTGACCGGATGTGTTAAGGCGCAGGCATGCCACGGTCCGATGTTCCACTACATGGTTCAATAGGAAGAGTCATCAACACATGGCGAGATGGCGATGGCCTTGGAGTTGAGCAGCTTCTTTTCATTTGCTTTGATGTGAGGCCACCTGGCAAAGTTTGAGCCCAGGCCATCTTAGCACATCCTCCGCGAAGTTGGACGGTTGTGCCAGGGATGGGGGTCGAATGCATCGTTCTGTCGCATGACGTTCTGTTCGGGCAAAGGTCGTGTGTGTGTGTGTGTGTGTGTGTGTGTGTGTGTGTGTGTGTGTGTGTGTGTGTGTGTGTGTGTGCGTGTGCGTGTGCGTGTGCGATATTGAAGCAGGATGACAGGGACCCCGCCACAGCGAAGGTTGGCCCTGCATGAGCTTGAAAGGGTTGAATGATGTGAGACTGAGTGAGACTACTTGACCAATGTTTCGTCAGTATTGGTGGCAGTACACGGCTTTCTTCGGCTCCGAATTTGCAGAGAAGAGCCGCCTCACCACGAGCTCGGGGCCAAAAGCTGCAGCAAGATGCCATGTCAGGTTTCATTTTTCCGACGGTTTCGGGAACCAACAATACAAAGTGAATGCATGTGCTTCATGCAGGCGGATGATTTGAGAGTTTCTCGAAATCAGACCACCCGGCGGCGCACTTGTCATTTCGGTCAAGCTCACTCATCCAAGATATTAGGCGGATTGAGCAGGGATTGAGATTCGTGCCATTCGCTCCGTTGTGCGGGAGCTTAGTCTACACTTGTTGTTTTTGAATTCGGGTTTCGTCCGAGATCTGGTGGTAAATCAACTTTGTGAATCTCAAGATGCCAATCGAATTCATTTGTTTGTCGATTGCTACGCCAAGCACATAGGTCGTCTCGGAGCATCCGAAGTTCTTTGGCTTCATGTGCAAAAGTGGGGTGCCCAGTTTTTACACAATCAGTCAATTGCCGAACAAAGTGTGACAGTGCGTGCTGGTCAGGAGAACAGACGGAGTGAACGAGGTCGTTCTGCTAGTAAAAGTCATATCTCTGCTGCCATCACAACGCTCTTGTGCAAGTATGTGGTTAGAGCCAAAGGTGTAGAACATTTGCCGGTGTGCATCCGATGTTGCACTGACGCAGGTGTTGCGATGAGCACAGTTCCAGACTTCAGTCCCGCAGAGGCACGGCCCGCAGCACTGCTGCGCTGGACTCTGCAGTTTTCGGGGCCAGTCTTTTTGCTGCCTTCCCCTCGTCAGGATGACGGTGGCACTGGGGGCTCTCACAGTGCTCCGCCCCATTGCTCATGTTCCGTTCAAAATGCCCAGGAGGCACAAAAGGCAGTTGTCCAGGCAGGGAGTGTAAGTTGACTTTCCACGCTGGATTCTTTAAGGCTGAACGGAAGAGCACATGCTCCAACGGTATGCTCATGCAAGTAACCCAACCAAGTTTTTCGACAATAAGCTCCTGCGGTCATCGTCTGGAGCAAGTGAGGCGAATCATATATAGCTAGGCTGGGAAGGGTCCCATCCTGGGCCATGGAAACCCGCTTCGAGCAGCTACTTGTTGACGTTGCCGAGGACGGATTTCGACTTGTTCATGGTGCTAAGCACCTGTGTCGATGCTGTCGTCAGAAAGCAAAAGCGCAAGTGCATTGCCTGGTGATGCTTTTGTCGCCTCGTGGCGAATGAGTGGTTGCGCTTCAGGAGCATCGGCGTGTTATTCGAAACTTGGCGGCATTGCGCATCTTCATGGGGCACTGTTGCTTGGTATGTGCCGTTTTCTATCCATGGACTTGGATATCTCTTGCCTGAACTAATACTGCAACATACCATTGTCACACCGGTCATACCTGGACACGGTCTCATCCGGTCATACTGTCCCGCTGTCCCGTGTCTTTTCGCAGTCGCTGTTTCCCGTCACAGTGCAATATACGAGGGTTGCAGTATGCTGCAGTTTCAGACAGGGATCTGCGGAGGATTTTTGTCTTGGTCTGATTGAGGCTGCTGGAAGGAGCCGTTTCTTGCTGCAGTGGCAGACATGTTGACATTGGTCTGGTGGCTGCTGGCAGTGACTCTCCTGTTTAGTGCGTGGAGCCATGAGTTCTGTTGACACCGGAGACCATGTTCCATGGTTGAGTCACTTCGAACCTTTCTGATACTTTTACAAACAGATCTCATCGAATCTGTCTCAGTTTGGTGATAAGTGTGGCTTTGCCACAGTCGAAGACAGCCCGGTGGATCCTGGGCTCACCGTATCAAGTAGTGAAGTTCATGAGGTGGCAGACGGAGTCAACAGTTAGGCTGCTGTGGTGGCGGCAACGGTTGATGTGTGTCGGTGCAGGATGAACACGACAAGCTGCTCCAGCAGCTTGCGGCCCATCGACCTCGTAAGGCCATTGCGGGTTCCCTACGTTTTGCCACAAGCGCTGAGCAGTCTAGACTAGACTTCGGAGCATGTTTAGAGAAGATCCCTGGCGTCACCTTGTTCCCCACCCTCGGTGTAGGTTTTTTGGATTTTGAACTCAACTCTTCTCCTCACCCGGAACTCTTCCCCTCGCCCGGTCTACTCCCCGCTCATGCCTGGAGTGCCCAACCCCAGAGTGTCCTTGGAGTGCCTCGCACAAAAACCTTGCGCAAGCTGAGACTTTCCGAGCCAGAAAAAACTGAGTAAGCTGTGATGTTACAAGCCACAAAGCTGAGATTTTCCAAGCCACAATTCGGTGAGTAAGCTGAAACTTTTCAAGCCATAAATAGCTGCGTAAGCTGAGATTTTTCATCAGCTGAGATTTGCAAGCCACAAGAAGTTGAGTATGCTAAGATTTCCAAGCCACAAAAAGCCGAGTAAGCCGAGAAATCCAAGCCACAGAAACTTGAATTTTCAAGCCACACAAAGCGGAGCAAACTGAGACTTCCAAGCCACAAAAAGCTGAGGAAACGGAGATTTCCAAACCAATGAAAGCTGAGTAAGCTGAGATTTCCCAAGCCGCAAAAAAGCTGAGCAACCTGAAATTTTCCAGCCGCAAAAATTGAGTAAGCTGAGATCTCCGCACCATAATAAGCTGGATGAGCTGAGATTTCCAAGCCATAAAAAGCTGAGTAAGTTGAGATTCTCCGAGGCACAAAAAGCTGGGTAAGCTGAGATGTCCAAGAAGCTGAGTAAGCTGAGATTTCTATGCTGAGATTTTCAAGCGAAAATTTTCTGAGCCACAACAAGCTGCGCAAGCTGAGATGTTCCAAGCCACAAGAAGCTGAATAAGCTGAGATTTCCAATCCACAAAAAGATGAGTAAGCGGAGATTTCCAAACCATAAAAAGCTGAGTAAGTTGAGATTTTCAAGGCACAAAAAGCTGAGAAAGCTGAGGTTTGCAAGCCTTAAAACGCTGAGGAAGCTGAGATTCTCCAAGCCACAAAAAGCTGACTAAGTTGAGCTTTCCAAGCCGCAAAAAGCTGAGTAAGCTGAAATTTTCCAAGTCAGAGAAAGCTGAGTAAGCCAAAAGCTGAGTAAGCTGAGATTTTCCAAAGCCACAAAATCCTGCGCAAGCTGAGATTTTCCAAGCCACAAAAAGCTGAGTAAGCTGAGATTTCCAAGAACCCGAGAGTGTCCATGGAGTGCCCAACCCCAAAGTGTCCCAGAGTGTGCCGCGAGTGCCCAACCCTAGAGTGTCCCTGGAGTACCCAGAGAGGGTGGGGATGTTCGAAGTAAACAATCTAGATTTGTGTTTGGTTTTATTCCTGGTTGGGGCACATGTTTTGACATTTCCACACCGTGGCTCCAGGCCTCGGAGGACCTGGTGGACGCAGCATCCGCAGCGGCTCCGCAGGAGTGTCCTGGCGCCAAGTGGCCTGAGCACCTTAAGAGTCATGGAATGTCGTGGAATGTTGTGGAAAGTCGTGGAATGTCAGCAAATTTTCCAGACTCTGTGGCCAGGCCAGCTGGTCATGCCGAGCCCGAAGCCCTCCGACAACTGGCGCTTCCTATCCCGCAAAGGTGCCAACCTCAGATTTCCTCAAGCTTCCGCTTGAACCCCGAGGAGGTTTTGAAGGTCACGCATGTAAGCATTGTACACAGATGCGAAGAAAAGCACATGTCTTGAAACAAAGCTGTTCTTCAGGCATGAGATGGAGCAAGTGAAGCCTCCCCCAGTTGTGGACTTACTTGCGCTGCCGACAGAAGATCGCAGACCGTCGACCAGAAGCTTGGCAGCAGTGCCAAAGTGGGTCGCACCCGACCTAACATCAACGAAAAGGAGTGTATTTATCCTCGCCTTTCAGGTTCTTCCCGAGCGTCACAAGCTTCATCTCCAGCGAGTACGCCGCGGCAGGACCATCGAGCTTTTGGGAGCCTTCCGGCCATTCCAGACTCTGATGGAGCTGGCCTGAGCAAGCGAGAAAGCAAGTATGCTTGGGAACCTGTGAGAACTGCAATGCCGCTCCCTGAATGCCCAGGAGAGGAATCCCACAATGGAGCTGCCAGTGCAGCGGATGCTGCAACCAGACCGCCTCGACGTGTCGTCAAGATTGGTGACACGGAGGCGCATCGATCAGCCGCAAGCCACGGACATGCATCTCTTCAATGAAATCTGTAAGGAAATCGATGGAGAATCGAATAATTCGAGTACCCGATTGGCAAGTCCGCAGGGTGCACGTCCACGGACCAGATCGTCGGACCCTGGGAAGCACAAGCGGTAGAAGTTTTAGAAGCTCCACATTTTAGTCAAGCACGCATGTTGGTGTCCACCACGATTGCGGTGCGGGCGTCAGGACTCTTCGTACGTGCCTGTGAAAGTAACGCCAACTGGCAGACGAATGTCAACGGCGGATACTACTCTAGTGGCTTGGCAGCAACCCCAGGTCGCGGTCGCTGTTGCTGTTGCTGTTGCTGGTGCTGGTGCTGGTGCTGGTGCTGGTGGTGGTGGTGGTGGTGGTGGTGGTGGTGGTGGTGGTGGTGGTGGTGGTGGTGGTCTGGTCGGTTGAATCCGGCAAGGTCTGGTGTGGTTGTTTGCCTGACTTGGGCTCGAGGAAGGTGCGTGTCAAAAGACTCACATATCTAGAAGGCTAGTTGGTTCATGCCGAAATCGCTACATGCCGAGGTGATGAATTCGTCGCCGCAACTGAATGATCGGCTTTCAAAGGTTTTCTGCGTGCAGGAGCCGCAGTCAAAGGCAGCTTGGTCTGCAATTGTAGCGCAGCTGAACCAAGCGCTAGAAATATCACCACGTGCATCCCCCAAGGATCTGAGGCGCTTTTGCCCGTCTTTTGCTTCTTTTGTTTTCCGTTCTTGTTTTTGCTGGGGCCTTCTGAGAGGTCATTACAGGTCCAGAGCTGGCAGCGGTGATGCAGCGGCGGCTCGGCGGAAGATGTAGGAGGAAGATGCAAGAGCCTGAAAGAGGGACCCCCCCCAAAGTGTACATCCCCCAAGCATGTTACGCAGCTCTTTTTCGGGAGTTGTTGGGGCTGCCGGTGCAAGCTGCCACACCCGTGTTCTTCGGGCCATGTTCCCTGGCATTGAACATCCCACGCTCCCATTGAACATTCCATGCTGCCAAGCTGGGCTGTTCCGAGGAATCGGCGGTTTGCTCCCCGAAAGGACAAGGGAGAGTTCACCAAGGAGATCTGCTTGGCTCCTCCATTGTGGGGGGAGCCTCTGTCACGATTTGCCACTATGCCAGGAGAGAATGGAGGACATTATCCGCGAGCTGAGGGTCATCGCTTCCAGGACGACCAGTGTCTGCATCGATGTTGGGCGTAGAGTGTTGAGTGTTGAGTGTTGAGTGTTGAGTGTTGAGTTGGGGGGGGGGGGGGGGGGGGGGTCGGGCTGGGTGGGTGGGGGGGTGGGGCAACGGGGAGGGCGCTTGCGGACCCCGGTAGGGGGGGGTACCCGTTTGAGGCAAAAAAAGGGGTCCGAAAATGCTTTGCCTTGGGGGGTGTACCTTCGGCCCGAGGCCTCGGCGGATTGTACATGTGAGGCCTCCCAAAAGTGTAGATGCAGGTTAGACATCAGGGAAAAGCTTCTTGACGCGATATACTTTTTGGGCAAAAGTGCGCTTTCAAAGGTTTCAGCGTTCAAGCCTCCGTCAATCCTTGCAAGGTTTAGGTTCCCATGGGTTTTCTTTGCCTAACGGCTGAGTCATCACTCGTCTTGAGGCTGAGGGTTTGCAGCCCATGCTCTCCTTTTCCTTGCATTAATCTATTGCTTGCCAAAGCGTTGGTCCAGAATCTTCATGCCCCCGTTTTAAAAGCATTGGTTCAGAATGTGCATCGACAATGTGAGATGGAGGGGAGAGGCGGAGGGGCGGAGATTGGAGTCTTCTGATTGTAAATGTGTTGGTTCAGAGAGAAGACGTTGATCAAGAAACCACGGGCTCTTTCGTGGCAACATGGGGCAACGTGCTTTCGCAAGATGGCTTGGGGATTGTGGGGGAAAATGGTAAAGCTAATCGTGCGAGTCCACGATCCGACGAGCGATCCTAGAATTAAGTTCAACACTCGAGCAAACCTTGAACTTATGTGGAAGCAGGCGTTGACCCTGGAGAAGCCAGAGCTATGATTGTGAATGCGAGCAGCTGAGCAGCCATCTCGAGCCAGGCTACGTGGAGAGTCGCCAAAGCGATCTGTGAATCAACAGAATGTCATGTCTTGGTTGGGCTCTCAGAGACCGGTGGTGTTTCTTCTGGGCATCGACCAATCGTGCTTGCTTTTTCCCCGGATAGCCTTAGCTATGAGGGGTTCTAGCTAAATAGGGCCTTTCGCGTCCACAGCCGGCGCAGCGGGCGAAGCGGCATGCAGGCATGCAGGTGGCATGCAGGAGGGGGTGCTGGTGGCATGTAGGTGGCAGTAGGCGTCTGCGGGCGCTCGAGGAGGCGCAGAGGCATGCAAGCACAGAGGTGGAGGCATGTAGGCATGCAGGTGGCATGCAGGAGGGGGGGGCTTGTAGGTGCAGGCATGCAGACGCGTGCAGGAGGGGGTGCAGGCGGCAGTAGCGGTGTCCGCGGCCAGTGGAGGGAGCAGCGGCATGCAGGCCTGCAGCAATGTGGGGGCAAGTGGCACGCAGGAGGGGAGGTGGCACGCAAGAGGGGGTGCAGGTGGCATGTAGGTGGGGCAGTAGGGGGTGCGGCGTCCGCGGCTAGGGGAGTTGGCGCAGGGACAGGCAGGCATGCAGGCATGTACTGAGTCGACCGAAATTTTTATAGCACGTTGTCAGGCTTTATCGTGACGTATAAGCCGTTATTGGAACTTAACTTATTAGAAATTAAGTAAAGTTAACTTATGGGTCGTTACACGTATTTACTAACTTCTGATATCTTTCCAGCTAACCTACTACAGGTTCCACTAACTTCCCTTATCTTTTTCGCTTGTTTTCACGTCGAGAATGTGACATTTCTTGTGGCAGAAGTGGCTGCCGCCGCTACATTTTTTTCCCCAGCTTTAGGCCTCAGCGATTAGGGTTCTAGCGAGACCCTTTTGGGCCAAACTTGAAAACCCTGATCCGGGCCAAGAAACCGTCCAAGAGACCCCCTTGGGCCAAACTTGAAACCCTGATCCGGGCCAAGAGGCCCTCTTGGGCCAAATTTGAAACCCTGTTCCAGGCCAAAAGAGCCTCAAAGAGACCCTTTTGGGCCAAACTTGAAACCCTGATCCGGGCCAAGAAACATTCTAAGAGACCTTCGTGGGCCAAACTTGAAACCCTGATCCGGGCCAAGAGACCCTTGGGCCAAACTTGAAACCTTGATCCGGGCCAAGACACCCCCTTGGGCCAACTTGAAACCCTGATCTAGGCCCAAGAGACACTGTTGGGCCGAACTTGAAACCCTGATCCGGGCCAAGAGGCCACCCAAAAGACCCAAACTTGAACCCCTGATCCGGGCCAACAGACCCCTCCTGATCCGGACAAAAAGACCCCCTTGGGCCAAACTTGAATTTTGGGGTTAAGAGACCCGGGCCAAACTTGAAACCCTGATCCAGGCTAAGAGACCATCTTTCTTGAACCAAACTTGAAACCTTGATCCGCACCAAGAAACCCTCCCAGAGACCCTCTTGGGCCAAACTTGAAAACCCTGATCCGGGCCAACCGACCCTGTTGTGGGGGAAGCTGCAGGTGTGTTAACATTTGTTCAGCCATTTAGGTTTCCTAAGAAACCTGTAGACATGGGTTAACGAAGTTACCAAAACAGGGTTATCTTATCCAGAAAGTCTTGCAGCTCCCTCATCAGGGTAACTTAAATCAGGCCCTGTTGTGTGGCATGCTGGGCGATTCTTTACTTTCTTGGAGGAAGTGCCAGCTCAAAGCTAGTAAATGCACACTTCCCCAAATGGGGGTACCGTAGGGCTCCCCTGCCTCCTTCCTCTTTTTCCCCATTCCCCCTTTCTGCCCCGCCAGCTAGGCTCAAAGACCATGAAAGCTTGAAACGATGCGCCATGACGAAGTTCCAGTCCCGCACAGTTCTGAGATGCCAGCTCTGGGCCAAGAGACCCCCCTGGGCCAAACTTGAAACCCTCATCCGGGCTTGGAGACCCTCCAAGAGACCATCTTGGGCCAAGCTTGAAACCCTGACCCGGGCAAAGAGATCCTCCAAGACCCTCTTGGGCCTAACTTGAAACCCTGATTGGGCCAAGAGACTTACATGGGCCAAACTTGAAACCCTGATCCCGGCCAAGAGACCACCCAAAAAACCCCCCTTAGGCCACTGATCCGGGCCAAGAGACCCTCCAAGAGAGCCTCTTGGGCCAAACTTGAAACCCTGATCCGGGCCAAGAGACCCCCTTGGGCCAAACTTGAAACCTTAATCCGGGCCAAGAGACCCTCCAAGAGACCCTCTTGGGCCAAACTTGAAACCTTGATCCGGGTCAAGAGGCTTGTTTTGGGCCAAACTGGGCCAAGGGACCCGCCAAGAGACCTCTTGCCTTGATCCGGGCCAAGAGACCCTCCAAGAGACCATCTTGGTCCAAACTTGAAACCCTGATCCGGGCCAAAGAGACCCTCCAAGAGAGCCTCTTGGGCCAAACTTGAAACCCTGATCCGGGCCAAGAGACCCCCTTGGGCCAAACTTGAAACCTTAATCCGGGCCAAGAGACCCTCCAAGAGACCCTCTTGGGCCAAACTTGAAACCTTGATCCGGGCCAAGAGACCCTCCAAGAGACCCCCTTGGGCCAAACTTGAAACCCATTGTACAAGCCTTCTGATTCAACAACGCCAAAACATGTCAAGCGCAGTGCCACAACAGAGAGGGCAAATATCTATTTATTCTCAGAGAGCCTCCCAGCTTTCTGGGGTCTTCGCCGGTGTAACTTTGTTTCGGTGCCAAGGCTCTCCTTCGTGGAGCTCATGTCGATCCCAGACCTGGCTACGCAGGTTGGGGCCACTTGGGGCCACTTTCTCTGTGGGGTCGTCTGTGAGGGCTCCCAATGTGCGCCAGGCGAGACCTGAGATGGTTCAGGCCGGAGTGCAGCTGGGCCAGGATACTGCGCATGGCACCTCTGGCGCAGGATATGTTCAACGTCCATTCTACACTTCGTGATGAACGCGTTGTTCACTTCAGTGGCTACGAGGCGAGGTGATCTTTGCTGTCTCAGCAAGCCGCACAGTGCACACGGAACAGCTGCGTGCACACCGAGCAACACAACAAAAGGCTGCTGCAAGCATGTGCTTGCAGCCCTGGTTTCACAAGAAGTTGCATCTTGCCCACTTGTTGGCATAGGCATCTCCTGCAACAGATCTCTCTCAAACAACGCCCAAACTCTGGTGATCCCTGGTTGTCTGGCGAAGACTTCTTTCTCTAGACCTTGTCTCTCGAAGCCCGTGATTGTTTCTGCAGGTCTTTCGAATGCGAATGATGAGATCGAGCTTTCCATTAGCGAAGGCTAGTTCGTCTGTAGGAGGACGAGTATTGTCGCCTGTGTGAGTCAGTGGACGAGTGCACGTTGCCAGACGAAAACGATGCAACAAAGAATCGTCGCGGTTGTCAATGGCGTTGCCACGTGGTCTGAAGACTGTCACCGACACTGGCTGTGTAATTGGCAGTTCGTGCTGGCTTGAAGCCAAGGCGATGACTTCGATCCTCTTGAGTTTGATCATACTAGGACCGCTGGAACGCGTAAGGGCTTCGACAAGTTTCGACATGTTTCGGCCGTGCATACAAGTAGCTGCTGCAGGATTCAGCATGGACTACGACCCGGGCTGGATGGGCTGGACTCTCCTGGAGATGGTCTTCGCAACAGCTGCATGTCTCAACTCTTGCTCTGCCTTTCTATGGACATTGCCAGTGTGTCGGAAGCTTGCAGGGCCTGGCTGCATGCTGGCACCTGCTCGTCGTAATTGCAGTGCTAGTGATACTTCAGGTAGTTTGAGGATGTCTTTGTCGCTCGCAGGTCTTCGTGATCGAGGTCGTGGTGAAGCTGGTGGTGTTGAGTCCACGGGTGTACTTCACTGGCACGGACTATGCCTGGAACATAGGTCAGGAGTCATTGGTAATAATGCAGCAGAACAGCAATACCGTAGCACTGTGCAGTTCAGAGAAGCTGGTCAGAATGAATTGCTACGCCAGGCGATCTAGTATTGACGCTCGTGGCGGTCGTCGATGTCATCATCAGCACAACGGCCGCCTCGGCTGGCTCTGCTCGCATGAGTTCCTTGGTCGACGAGCATGTGGTGCCGAAGTAGGAGCATGGTGACGCATGCATCGGCCAAGTCACAGCAGCAGAGGTATGGTTCTGCGTGGATTGAGACTATCCCGAGTTGCCAGGCTGATAAAGGCCGCTGCGAGACCATCCCAACTACGTAATTACACACTCCCACGGGACAAATTGCTGTCAACTGTTGTTGAGTTTGTGCGTTTCTCCGTGGCTTTAACTTAACCATAATCAATATTGACTGATGACAAACGCGACATCTTTCATAGAATAGGTGTGCTGAGAAAGTTACTATGCCTGTCGATGCTGTCTGCTTTTTGAAGAGGACCCGGATTTTTGCGTATGTGTTTGATCAGGATGACTTCGCGACGTGTGTAAATGTTGAAGGTCCTTGAGGGCAAGAAGTAGGGATTGACACGCTGAGGACCTTTCGGCGCCTTCAGGGTGTTTAAGTTGTCGTGCATGCGTAGATCTTGAAGGGCCTTGAGGGGTTGAATTTGGAGGGCTTGAGATGTTGGGCTGAGTGTCGAGCCTCTTCTTGAGGCTTTACTGTCTTGACTGAGATTAGGGTTGGGGTCGTTGCCGGTGGACAGTTTGGATAGGTTGTGGAATGTATGATGGCATGGGCGTTGCTTGACGATACTACCCTTTACGTGGTTTTAGGCGACAGCTTTTTGGATCTGTTGGTGTCAACACGAAGAAACGGAGCCTGCGAAAGCAGAGTTATCGAGCAGTGCAGTGTTTGTACTTGTTTGTGCCGTGCGCAGTTGATGCATTGGCCATTGCTGGCGGAGCTGGCCAACATGATTTCAGACACTCGGCGAGCAAAGCAAGTAGGTAGTGCGTTGCCCTAGCTTTGCTCGTCAGCTCACATGCCTGATGGGGTGCTTCTCTCGAAGCCCTCAAGAAGCACAGGCCATGGTGATAGGCGTTCCATGGCTCTTCTGGGTCACGATCCTTCTCTGTGGCTCGGCTCTGCTCGGCATGTTGGTTGTACCACGGGTAGTAGCTGCAGACGGGCAGGTGGGGTTCTCTATGTCTGCGCGATCGTTCTCCGAAGCACCGTGTCCAGCGACGCGACGGCGATGTTTGAGAGGCAGTGCATTTGAAGCGGGACGTGTCCAATATTGTCCAATACCTGCCTGAAGTGACTGTGACAGGTGCGGTAGCGCTGACAACGAAGCCTTTCCTTTGCCTGGAGAAGATCCACGTGATGGATGTGTAATTGCACATCTTTACCTGGGGGAGTATTGCGGAACAGTCTTTACGTGCATGTTCACGGCTGGAGGCTGAGAGCGGACGCGTTTGTATATGTAGCTCTTTTGCATGCTCCTAGGGTTCAGTAGGTTTTAGGGACCTCCAAAAGCCAGTCGTTTCAACATGTGCTCTCAGGTCTTCAGGTGCCTGATCGGAGACTGCAACTCGAAAGGCACAGTTCAGAGAGTGTTCGCGGTGTTTACAGGATTCAACTGTTGGCGAGCGCAAGCTCTGGAAAGATGTGGGAAAATACTGTTCAAATCATGCAGGCTGGTGGAAGTGTGTTTGTTTGTTTTGTTTGTTTTGTTTGTTTGTTTGTTTGTTTGTTTGTTTGTTTGTTTGTTTGTTTGGTGTGTGTGTGTGTATGTGTGTGTTTGTGTTTGTGTGTTTGTGCTTTTGTGTGTTTGTGTGTTTGTTTGTTTTTGTGTGTGTGTGTGTGTGTGTGTGTGTGTTTGAGAAGTGACTGAGTGAGTGCTAATAACATTTGCACACATGATGTTGCCAGCTTGCGTCGGTGGTCTTCTCTGCAATTCAATTATCATGTGTGGGCTTTGCATGTTGTGGTTTGCTACAAAGCAGGTGGCAGGCCGCTCGCTGCAGTTATGAGCAACTACTACGGATGGACTTTTGAAGGGCCGGTGCCTTAGTTTTGTTGTCTCTGGGTTCGCCATGAGCTGCTTGAAGGTTCCTTTGCTTTTGAGAAGAGGAGCGTTTTCTCAACGAGCGTTTCGCCTTCTTTCCAGTGAGGTTCTATGGCTTGAGCATGGTCACGATGATCTTTGGTATGACGAACATCATTACCGAACTTATCTCAGATTCTGTTGTGATGTGGGTTGGTCATGGTGAGATTTTGAGTGGTATTTGCAGGCGATGTTTGTGGATGCCACATTGTCTGGGCTCAAGTACAATGACGTGCCATCCTTGATGGCATGACGCGTGGGGCAAGTTCAAAATAGTGCGGAGCAGGGCAGAGCAGCGCAGTGCCATCATGAGGTGCAGCGAAAACATGCGAAGCTGCCTTCGGCCCAGATTTAGGCAGAAGCGGGGGATAGCTTTTGGGCTAAGCATCGCTTCACATCCCTTGCGCTTCTGCAGTCTGTGAAACTACGTCGCTTAAGGCATGAGACGAACTATGTGACTCGCAAGCTCAACGAACTTGTTGCTTATCTGCATGCTGCACCAGAGCGTCCGGATTTGAGGCATATGCCAGTAGCTTTTGAGGAACCCGTCCGATTGTTTCTTGTTGTTGCTGCCCAACAAATTGAATGTCGAAAATGCTTTCCTGAAGCCCGCCACATTGAGGTTGTGCGGGTATCAAAGACTGTGAGGCTGTGTGCGAGCAAACGTGCATCCAGACTGCTGTCCGGGACACTTGTGTGGTTAGCACGGTGAACATGGTAAACGCGTGAGTGCTGCTTTGTGGCAGAAGGCTCCAACGTAAAGTCGGATGTTCCCATGTCTTCCCGGTGCTTTGTGTGAGCGGCCAGAGCCATGGTGGTTTCCCAGATTCGAGGGGCCGTCAATGCACTTTGGCACTGACCCGTCATGATCCTGGCAGACCAGACATCACCGACGAAACTGAAGCTTCTGCTGGACTGGCACTCGCTGTTGGCTTGGTGGAGCGAGAAAGCATGTTCAAGCCGTGGTTTTAGAATACTGTCGGCCGACGGTCCATGTCAGCGACGCTCTGCAATATGGATCAGCGAAAGGTGTTATGAAGACATCGGCGAGTCGTGACCGACACTATGTGCCACTGCAAAGGCATAATATGTTGTCGTTGTCATGCTCGGACGGAAAAGTTCAGCTCCTTTTTGTCCTTCGGGCTTTGAGGAAGGTCTCTAAGTCGATGTGAGCCGCATGTCTGAGGCATGTGTTAGGGCAATGCCAGCAACGAAATTCAGTAGACAGAAGGATGTGAGGGCATCTCTCCATCTGCAAAGAAGTAGTTTGAAAGAGAGAACGGGCGGTCTGATCTGACCCGCGGCCGCAGCACAAAAAGGTTTCTTACAGCTATTGGCGCACCCGCGCACAAACACATGGCACCTTTCTGCCAGGGAGATGAGAGAAGCTGACAAGTTCGAGGATTCGCAGTCGAACTGGCGGAAGTCCTTCAAATCGTTTCTTCGCAAAGGGTCGGTAAAGATCAGCGCAGAGCTCAAGAATGCAAGCTGCTCACATTTTGTCCGGTTCCCTCGGAGCAGCGTGCTGCATATGCTGGCGTAAGGTGACTCAGATCTTGACCGGGAGCTTACCCTATCTGAAGCAGAGTTTACACAAGTCCTCCAGAACTCCAAGTTCCTTGGAATGCAAAAAGAACTGCTTCCAGCCCACGGACTGCCAGATCTGCCACTGACACGCTGACACATGGTCCAGCCGGTACATACCCAGCCGTTCAAAGGGCAGAGCGCAGATTCACCCAAGGATCCGGAACCTTCTCGACGAGACCCGTCTCCAAGCTGTGCGCGTCATGTTGGGCTTTTATTTCCCGAGCTTGCTTTTTTTCAAGATGCGCTCTTCCTCTCTCTCTCTCTCCCTCCTCTCTCCTCTCCTTCTCTCTCTCTCTCTCTGTGCTACTGGTTGGTTTGGTCGGTTGTTGCAGATTCGAGGATCTGGACATCGAGCTCGAAGCGAGGCCCGGGATCTTTGAAGCCTTTGGTGCCGACGCGGACGGCCACCTCGGTGTGTCAGAGCTCGTGCCAACACCTCAGCTTGGGTCCACTCTTGAGTCCACTTGTCAAAGCGGGCGCATGTACATGCTTTTGTACGGAATCTAAGCTTCAACTATGTGTAGTTCTGAGCCTTTAGCTTGCACGGCTGTTCAGGTCTGGTCTCATGAGGCCAGGTCCTCAACATCCACAGTTTGGCTCAGCGATGGCAGTTGTGAGAAGCACCAAGGCTACGAGGAGATCTACAGAAGTCGGACATTGCAGCTGCCCCAAACGCCTTGCAACACCTAGCACAATCTTGCACGCCTGCACACGGTTCCATTTGAATCAGAGATGGATGAATGTCGCGATAGTTTTTAATTTCGGCATCCCTGGGGTAAGAAGGTGTCTGCCCAAATGTCGCTGCAGACCATCGGCGAGAAGCTCAATGTTTTCCAGGCAAGTTGCGCTAAGAGCCGCAAGTCTGATCTGCACGTATTTACTTAATCTTATGCGCAGCCATGGGTAGAAGGGCCACTTGAGTGTTTGCCGTAGTTGTCTTCAGGCGACGAATCTGCACAACCAGTCGCGGCTTCTCAATATCCTAGACAAGCTTTCGAAACAACAGCAGCCTTCAGGCACCATGTCTGAACCCGGATGGTCACACAGTGTTGGAGGGGAGGCAAAGTGACTACACTCGTCTCGTCAGTGCTCCCTGTGCCAAGCCGAGGCCAGAGCCAAAGCATCTTGAACAAGATGTGAGTTGCTGCATGTTGGTTCACTGGCTGCGAACATGGTGTGGTATTACAATTGCATTCCATGCATTCCAATGGCTCAAGTGTTGGAGTCATTGAAGTCTTCGGCTCGCTCTCCGAACTTGCAATACTTGGATTAAGAAGTTGAGTATTCTTCGCTTTGTTAAGAATGAGTGGGAGCTGCAAACGGTCGCGACTCACGACTCACGGCATGCTGGTAGATCCGGCCCAAGCGGGATTTTCAGGACTTCTCATATTTCGTCTTGCAGTCCATACCGACTGAATTTTGTGGTCTCTTCGTGGTTTGAGCATTGCCCAAGGCATGCACAAGCCAGTCCGGCCAAGAGTTCACCCCCTTCCCGTCAACAGATTGGAGTTGAGGGGGTACCACGCCGTGTATTCAGTGCCTTTTGCTGCCAGTTTGCATGAAAACGAGCGTGCAGTGCGTGCAGGCCTGCATGTGGAAACTTTGCCACAGGCAGCACACTCGAATCACGAGCATCACCAGAGCCCTTGAAGGTGCAACCATCGCGACAGCAGAGAAGCCGATGCCGACACAGCATGCTTGGACCCCAGGAAGCCATCTGCCCTACCGTTTGTGCTTTGACGAGTATGCTAACCCAGAACATGTTTCGCTTTGGCATGGCGGTAAAAAGCTTAAACATGCTTAAACCATCGACCCTAGGATAGCTTGCTGTTAGGGATGGGAGTCAGCCCTGAACACATGTTGCGCATCGCATATGACTTGCATGCAGTCGGAGATGTTGCATGCTTGCGGAACCTCCCAGTCTGACACGTTTCTAAAACCAGTCTCTGCAGGCTCGCGATGGCACAAGATCACCAGATGCTACGGGCAGGCAGTTCTACAGCTTTGTGATGTGTCAGCTTCAGTAGCAACCTTCACACAGGCAGGACTCTTTCCCACCGCTGAGCCACGAGGCAGGTGAATGCATGTGCTATTTGAGCGCTCAGCCGAATTTCGGTCCAAAAGCCAGGCTCGGGAATGGCTGGCGGGCTGCCCAGCGACTTTGAACATTTCGCTTACAAGTCAGAATCCTGCCTCCCTCCCTTGCCCACACGCAGCCTCTCTCTCTCCCTCACTCTCTCTGTCTGTCTCTCTGTCTGGCACACTGCTCAGGAGGACAACTCTGATCGTCTTTCTGACCAAACACAGAAATGTTTAATGGCATCCTGGACATGTGTTTAGCCACACAGTCCAGCTCCGCCAACATGACTCCGAATCTGCAGTGCACCTCAATTTCACTGATTCTTGCCTCTGGCCAGATTCACCAACAGCTGCAGCAGCTGCTCTTCAAGCAGGGCAGCCCCTCATGGAGGACTTAGCCATGTCACCTTCATGCTCTTGCAAAGTGCAAAGTCCTTACACATTGTAGGTACCGCCCACGACCAGACTGTTACAGAAAGCATAAGCAATGAGAAGGAAAAGAGGTGCCAGCACGTGCCAGCCAAGCGTAGCTTTGGAGTACTCGACTAGGGGAGGCGCAAACCCGATGATGCTGCTCGACTCCTTCCTTTTCTTTGGCACATGAGCTGCCGAGCCCTCTTTCCACTTGCCGTCACTAGGACTGGCTCTCCTACCAAGCTTGAGTGGGAGGCACTGGAACTTGACGTCAGAGATGTGCTTTTTGAGGAAAGGGTTTCTGAAGTCAGCAGGTGAACAGTCCTGACAAACCGCTGTCGCAGCGTGCTTTGGAAGGCGGCAGTAGTGGGGCAGTGCCATCACTACAGTCCACTGCTTCCACATCTGTCGCAGATGGAACATCTCCATGTCGTTCACGGGTTTGCCATGTTTGTCTCCTAGCGGCATCTGCAAGGAGCGCCTCTTGAGCTGCTGGGCAGCGCGTCGAGGGTCTTGCCGACTCGTTTGGCACCAATGTTGAGTTGTCAGTTGAAGGCACGACTGTCCTTTACAGGTTGCTGCACAACGCCGAGAGGAGCTGAGGCACCTCAGAAGTTGAGATCACGAAACAGGGTAGCCTGGAAAATGTCAGGTCTGAGCTTGCCAGTGCGGAAGAGGAACTACAAGCAGCACACGCGGCGTTCAGGCAACAATGTGAAGTGCTTGTGGATGCTGGTGGTGTGGACCAGGGGGACAGCGCAAACCTTCTGTTGAGTGGGGATCCTGGATGGGAAGATGCAGGTCGCAGGAGGCCTCGAACGACAAGTTCGAGCAGGCAGAATGTGTAACATGTACCCGTGAGCTGCCTTGGTACGTACAGAAGCACTTTGTGTAAACACTTTTCCGCGGGTGTGTGTGTGTGTGTGTAATCGTGCTTGGAGGCTGTGGAAGCGGGCTGCGAGGCAAGCTCCCGTGTGCAATGCTCTTTCAAAAGCCATGATTAACGAGCAACGATTAGGATCAGTCCGCACGAATTCGCACCGTCGCCTTTTTGCTTAGGGATGATGAGGGACGATAGGTCCCAGTTGCCAGACCAATATCTGCGAGCTTTGTTGAGCTTCGGGGCGGCGACTCGGACGCTAGCGACGGTTATCTGTAAACTGGTCGCCTCACCCTGCCCGCCCTTCCCCTACCGTTTACAATCTTGAGTTTTCATGAGAAGTCAACTTAATCTGTCCATGCGGCTTCGTCCCGAAAGAGGGTTTCTCAACCTGCCGAGGTACAGAACTTTTCATGGGGGTTTCCGGAGTGGCCTTTAAGCCAGACGCGTGGGAAGTGTCTACGGAGTCTACGATGTAGAACTTCAACCCTGCTATCCTTACAGGCCGAGGCAAGGCACGGTTCGTCTAGCGGGGTCTTCTAAAGCTCTACGAAGAGCTTTTGCTGAAGGAGGGAACGAGGGTTTGGGAGGGCCGATTCACGAACTGCCTCGTTGGTAATATGGGAGTAGCAGGATGCCTTTATACCAACTACTCTGCGAAGGAACCGCCCCTAATAAGCGTCGATACGCCAAAGGTCGGTGTGTTTGCATTTATGTCGGAAAGGCGTATTTTATAGATAGTCAAATGAGATGAGTTCACAAGGGCACCCGGTTGTGGTAAAGAGAAAAAGAGGGTCTCGGTTCCTGCGCGCGTCGAAGAACAACGAGAGGCTGAGATGCGGCGCCTGCGGGAGAAGGCCTTTGTGCCATGATTGAAGTTTTTTGAATGTTTCATCTGTCGCCGTGGGAAAGGCGTCCGTGGTTGAGGCGCAGATCTTAGTTGGTTCAGTTTCCAGGAAAAGCCTTCAGCAAAGAGCATCGATGCATCATTCCTGCCTTGTTCTTGGGGGGCACTTGTTGAATTGACGGGTGTCGGCCACCGGATCTTTGAAGCAAGAAGGCGCGGTTTGTAGGTGTTGCCCTACTCTTGCTCATTCGAGCAAAGTTTGTTGTGGTTCACCATGCTGATGCTATGGCACGATCGGTGCTGGCTGTTCGGTCAAGCCTTCGCTTCAGCCCGCGCGACTTGGAGAAAATGGAGCAAGTATTTCGCCCACAAAGATGGCCTGATTGTTTGCTGGCGCACGTAAACCCTCATCTTCTCAATGTTTCTTGGCCCATGATGCGGAGGTGAAACCGACCCAGTGGTCCGAAGTCTTGGTGCAAAATGCCAGACATGCAAGATCGGCACGATGTTTATCGAGTCGAACACATCGGCTTTTGCGACAACCCAGCCTCGGTCAGTGACCACGGCAGCTGCCAGTCTTCATCATCCATGGCAGAGGTCTCTGACTCACTTGCAATCGTTGCGTGGAGCCACCGCTGCAATAATGCGACTCAAGCGCAAAGGAGACTGGGAGCAGGCGTTGGTTCTACTCTTTAAAGCCAAGTTCCCGGACGTCATTGTGTTCACCGCCGTGGCTAGCGTTTGTGCGAAAGCCACAGCCTGGACATCAGCCGTCGCCCTGCTAGAGGAGCTGCGGTCAAGAAACTCAAGCACTCTGGACCGCGCATTTTTGAACTCTGTCGGGGCAGCGTGTAGTTCCGCTGGTAGGTGGCAGTTTGCACTCTGGCTTTTGCTAGGTGCTCCGCAGTCTGCAGGCATGATGCCTTGTGTGGTTGCACACAGCACAGCAATGACAGCTTGTGAGCGCGTGTCTTTATGGGAAAGAGTGCTTGGGCTTCTCGCCGAGTCACAAGCAGGGGACCTTGCAGGAGCACATGTATACACACCCGCAATTGTGGCCTGCGGAACGGTCTCTGCCTGGCAGCGCTCACTGCATCTGTGGACCGAGCTGTGCCAGACTTCTGCGCAGAACACGATCGCGCTGAACGCAACCCTGACGGCCTCAGAGCGGGCGGGGCAATGGATGCTGTGTCTGCAGCTTCTGAAAAAATCCATAGAGACGCCCCTTCCAAGTCCAAAGCCAGATGGCATCAGCTACAGTGCAGTCATTACTGCCTGCTGCAATGCACGCCGCTGGCCTCTGGCCGTGCAGTTGTTGGACCTGGCGATGTTGGACTCTCTGACACCCAGCACTGGAGCATTCAGCTGCCTGGCGAGGGCGCTGGGCCACGATCGTTCCTGGCAGCAGGCTTTGCTGCTATTGCAAACTCCACACTCGCATGGGAACCCGTGGCAGCTCACGATGGACCTGTGGTCGAGCGTGGCCTGGGCTCTGGATGTGCCTTGTATCGAAATCGACAATCAAGCAACATTGCACTCACTCCGCATTGGACGTCCGCATGTGAGCTGCGTTTTGGGCGCTCGAGTGGTTACTCTATAAGGGACATTAATTTTAACGCTACGCGACCCGCCTCGGCCCGGCCCAGCGCATCCGTGTGAGCATGGTGATTCCGCAGCGCCCAAGTCGCTGGACCCCAAGCAATAAGGGTTGCGTTTGGGCTTAGGGTTCCGGGTTTATGGTTTGGGGTTTAGGTTTGAGGGTTAGTTTAGGGTTGAGGGCTTAGGGCTCAAGGTTCACGGTTTGGGGTTTGGGGTTTTTGGGTTTAGGGTTCAAGGTTCAAGGTCGAGGGTTGAGACGGTTCGGCTTGGATTGGGTTCGTAAAGTTGAGCCAGGCCCCTCAAGCAAAAGGGCCGGGGGTGGGGGGGGGGGGGGGCAGGGGGCCCCCGGACGGGTCCCCGGCCGGGCAGAGGGAAATCAGGGGCGGCAGGGGAGGCAAGGGGGCCGGGCAGTTGGGGGCGGGGGTTAGGGCAGGGGGGGGCGGGGGGTTGGGGCAGGGGTCTGTTTTTGGTCCTGGCGAACGGTCAGCTTTCAGATTGTGTCGCCCACGAAAAGTACCCTTTCCAGGCAAGAAAAGGGGGCCGTGTGGTGAGGATTTGGGGGTGCAACCTATACACCTTCGGCTCGAGGCCTCGGCGGATATTTTCCACGGGGCCGAAGAGGTAAAAAAAGATTACGCGTAAGGTCGCAGAACGGTCCGCGGAAGGCGTGGCGTTCGCGGAAGGTGTTTCTGTCAGCTTCAAGCTTAGACAAAAACCTTAAAAAAGCCAATACGTACTTCGGGATTGCATTGCTGACGCCCGACACGTTATCAACCAGAAGAATCGCGCCCCATCGCTTCTCCAAGCTTTCGGCGGAACTCCGCGGGAGGCCCGCGGAAGGGTTGCGGAAGCTCCGCGGAAGGCGACGGGTCGCTTGGCAGGCCAGAGCCCATGCTTCTCCCATTTCAATGCTTCCCAAGCCCCCAAGTACTCCCTAGACCCTAACCCTCCATATTATAACCCTATAACTTAACCCTGTATCCTTCACCCTTCACCCTAAAGCTTATCCCTTGACCCTTGGCGCTTGCCTGACCCTCAACCCCCAAAACCTTTTGACATCACAGAAACTCAGTGACAGGTTCTTGATTTCTGTTTATGGTGAGAAGGTGGAGTTGGATATTTCCGCGGAAGGCTCGGGCGTGGAATGCGCCACGGAAGGGTCCGCGGAAGGGCTATAATGTCTGAGAAAAAACGCCGCTCACGTGATACAGCTGAGGTTGCTGGTGTTGAGCTCCACCACCCTGCCTTTGACATCGCTGCCTTGGGGCGCAAGCAGTTTGCTTTGCTCCAGTACGTGCAGCGGCGGGTGCAGCAAGGCGACCTGGATGGAGTTCTCTCTGAGATGGTCCGGTTCGCACGCCGCCGGGAGTGGCTGAAGATTGCCGGCGGCAATAAAGCCCGCCTGCTGGAGGCCGGGCCGTTCTTGTGCGACCTGCAACACATCTGAGCCCAGAAAGCATACCGAGATACGAGAAGCTCAGCGTAGCTTCATGATAGACATGAGAAGCAAATGCAGAGACTTGATGGCATTTTTTGTCGCTTGAGGCGGTTCTTCGTCCGGGTGACCGGGTTCTGGAGCTGCTGGGCGACAAATTCGCAGGCGCTCCTTCGCCCAATGCGGCGCCTTTGTTTTGAGTGAACTCAGGTTGGGATGCTTCGTGGGATTCTCGGCTCTACTGGTGGTCCAGCGACTCAGGAGAACTTCTATTTTGACGTTTGTGTGCATTGTAACTCCAGGACTCGAGACTTTGAAAAACTTTCGATGCGCAGGAGGCTGGGTGGAGGCGGCTGTGTGATTTCCTGCGAGCTGAATGCTGTCCGGAACACAGCGAAAGCTAACCTCTTCCACAGCATCTACTGTAGTTCCTGATTTGCAGAAAGTCGGCCGAGGCCAGCGCGCATGTTGCACGCCGTATCATCGCATGGGCCGGAGCTGAAGAGGAGGTAGAGGCCATGGCTGTGGCCGAAGTTAGGAGATCTGTTGGAGGCTTCTGAAGGCAACTGTGAATCCAACGTGGATGTCTTGCAGCGCTGAAAGACTGGAGCACGATCTTCGGTGCTTTCATTGTCGGTATCGCACATGCTGCTGTGTAGTCCCAATGTCGAGCGCCGGTGGTATCGACTCAGCGACTTAGGCGTTCTCTCAAACTTGGCTTTTGGGATCACGTACTAGTACACTCGCTCGCATTTGCACTGCCAGCTACACTTCGGTCATCGACGATGACGATGACGACGGCAGTGACGAATAATCAGAAACATATTATGATGATGATGATGATGATGATCATGATCGTGATCGTGATCGTGATCGTGATCATGATCATGATCATGACGACGATGTTGATGATTGTGACCCACATGGTGATTCAGCATGGTTTTCGGTTTTCGCCTTTCTTTTTTTGCCCTCCATGTGCACATGGCAGTGCTCGCAATCATTGTTCGTACTCTGTGAGTTGTGCTCCCCGCCATCTATCTTCCCAAGCTTAGACTTGCGACACTTTGCGATGTTGCATCACATAAAGAGTCCCACGTGAGTCAGTCCGCGCCAGACACATATTCCTCTCTTTGCAATCTGACTTCCACTGAAGTTGCATTGAAGTCCTTGCCCCGCAAGCCGCAAGAGGAGAGCGGGGGAGAGGAAAACGAGCACAATCAAGAGTATTCTTCATGGGAAGGTGAAGATTGGTTTCGCAGCCGACTGGATAGAGACGGGCCTGCTGGGCAGTCCCGATGCCAGGGCCTTGCTGCTTCTTGCTCGAGGAGTGCACAACAATCTCACTTCCTGCTGCAGAAAGGTGGTTGTGTTGGACCACAGTGCCGCCCGCTATCACGAGGTTCGGAACATCATGTCCTGACGGGGGTTCGAAGCTTTTGATAAACGCGCAAAGAGGCTCAGAGCAAGAGCCTCTCTTTGTAGAAAGCTCTAAGCAAACTTAATGTGAAAACGTGATTGGAGACATATGGACTCTTTCGAGACTTTGCTTTTCACAGGATCTCGTGGCCTTGGAGCCGGTCTTCACTCGAGGCACTCGAATCCTTGCCGACAATGCCGCGTACTCGGCCGTGTGGCTCTCTTCGAGTAAGAGTCCGAAAAAGGTAGCCGTCTTTCACCAGTAGGAGAGACCCCTGTCGGACAGGCCCCTATCGGAAATGGATACAAGCCCTAAAGACACCTTAAACTCTGAACAACCACGAACCCAAAACAAATCCTCAACCCTAAGCAGACCCTTAACCCAAAACAAACCCTCAATCCTCCACAAAACCCTAAATGCCCCGAAACCCTAAACAAACCCTAAACCCTCAACCAATCCTAAACACCAAAAAACCCTAAACCTTAAAGAAGCTCTAAAATGTTAAGCAATCCTAAGCCCCAAACAACCCTTAGATCCTAAACAAACCCTAATGGCCCTAAACCCTAAATAGTCACTAAAACCCTAGCCAAACCCCAAACGGCAAACAAGCCCTAAACCCTAAACCCAACCCTAGACCCGAAGCAAACCCGAAGCAAACCCCAAGCCCTAAACAAGCCCTGAACCCTGAACAGACCAAAGCAAAAAACTTCGAACGCCCTAAGGAAACCGTAAACCCTAAGCAAACACTAAACCGTAAACAAAACCTTGACCCTTAAACAAGCCGTAAACCCTGAACAAACCCTAAACCCTAAGCCAGCCCTCAACCCTAGCCCAAACCCCAAACAAGCCTTATATCCTGAAGAGGTCTTAAAGCTTAACAAACCCCAAACCCCAAACAAACCCCAGATCCTAAACAAACCCTAAACCTAAATAGACCCTAAACCCTAGTCAAACCCTAAAACCTAAACAAACACCAAACCCTAAGCAAACTCGAGACACAAAAGAATCCTAAACCCGAAACAGCCGTAAACCCTAAACAAAAAACATGAACACACCAATACCCAAACCTAAACCCTGAACAAACCCTAAGCCCTGAACAAACCCTATACGCTTAATTAACCCTAAGCCCTAAACAAACCCCAAATCCAAAGCAAGCCTGAAACTCTAAACCCTAAAAGTCTGAACAGACCCTATATCCTAAGCAAACCCCAAACCCTATGCAAACCCACTACTTGTAACTCCAAAAGCCCTCAGGCTATTAGCAACTCCTAAACCCTAGACAAACCATAAACACCAACAAAACCTCAAACAAACACTAAACTTGCCCAGACGGGCTGGGGTAGGGGCCTATGACTTTCCGATAGGGGCCTGTCGGGTGCACCTATAGATTCGCTAGCCCCCTATTTCTGGCGGATAAGGGCTCTATCTGAAACGGGATAGGGGCCTACCCGGAATAGGGGCCTATCAGAGTTCGGGTCAGACCCTATCGATAGGGGTCTATGGGATTTGGCCTATCCAAAACGCATGGGGGTCTATATAGTGGTCTATTCATGCCTTCCTTCCACACAGGCTTAGGCGCGTAGGCGCATGCTTAACTGGTTTTGAAAGCCTGTTCCTGAGCATCACGGCTTCTGCTATTGGGAAAGTTACCCGTTATCAGGTCTTGAGCCCGGGCGCGTTCAGACCCAAGCGCTCGCCACTCCATGCGTTCACACAGTGGCGGATGTTTGACCCATTCTGCTGTCCGAGGCCGTTGCTCCTGAGTGCTGTTGACGGCCGCTATCATGTGGCGGTCCATGAGGCCATCGACAGATTCTTGCTTGGCACAGCAGGATATGAGCTACGAGCTGCAGGTGGAGGAGTTCTTGCGCCGAAGCCGCATGGACTGGGCCACTTGGACATCCAGCGTGACTGCGCTGGCCATTCTGTAGGTTCACAGAATTGACAGGTGCTTCATGTCCGAGTTGCCAGCGTGTTGTCAGCTCGCAGTGCCCTCGAAGAGCACGTGAGCATATCCCAGGTTGTGGTATGTGTCCCTTGCAGTGGGTCTTCCTGGAGTGGTGCAGCTTCCGCGGAGTGCAAAGCCGAGAAAACGTCCCAGGCTGTGTACCTCATGCTATTGGAATCCAGTAGATGTTCCCCGTGACTGGCCCAGGTTCCAGCAGCTCGCAGTCGAAGTCAACAGGCGAAGTGTGCACATGTACATGGCACGTGACTCCTTTCAGAGGATTCTTACACGTGACTGAAAGCCAATGACATCGCGCAACAGGCTCTGCTGGCGGAGCAGTTCAGCATGTCGAGGTCAGCGCGTTCGAGGGGAGGAGTGGATGCGATTGCAGGACTGAACTGAAAGCCTTCTCCGTTCACGGTTCGCAAGGACGTCTGTTCGTTCTGAGTTTCTCCTCCGCGCGGTTTGTGTTTTGGAGCCGCACCCCCCCCCCCCCCCCCAACAGATCCCCTGAAGCCGTACCATGCCGCACCCGAGAAGCTCGTTTTGAGATGACAGATGTTTTGAAACCTTTTTGAATCGGCGTCTTTTGCTTTCTAATGAGGAATCTGCGCTGCCAGTGTTTCGCCGCTGGGCACGCGAGCGGCGGCTTCTGACCTGACTTGCGCTTCGAAAAAGCCCCCAACAGCGCCCGGCCTCTCTTCTTGCTTGCTTTGCTCGCGTCTTCCGGCACGACAGAGCAGCCAAGGCCAAGCTTCGAGAAAGGCCTATGCATTTTGCCTGCATCATGCGGTGACGAGATGTTTCATCATTCGATTCGGCAGGCTTGACGCCTTGCAGCATCTGGCCTCCAAGGCGCAGCTGCGTATTCCGTGCCAGAGCTTTGTGCAATTGGTGGTGGCAGACGCATGAGTACGGCATAGTATGGCTCGACATAACACATCTCTCGAGATGAAGGCCGTCGCGTCACGAGGGTCGCCGGTTGCCTCCGTTGCCTTCTCGTCTCCATTGCAAGGATCCCCAGGGTCCCCAGGCAGCATTCGGAAGTGACCGAAGTGTGAAGCGAAGCGGCATCCAGATCATCCAGCGGGGGAGGGCCCAGCTGAGGCTTGCTCAGCCATGCCATTCCCCCATCCGCAGCGGTTCCCCCAGAAGCGCGAAGCATCGAAGATTGGGAGTCTAAAGCCATGGAAGCATGTGGGGAAGATTGTGATTGCAGCAGCATTCTGCCGATACGGCTGCGTATGAGATCCACTGCAGATGTGCTCCAGAGATGTGCCACAGAACAGATCCCCCCTTTTGAGGCTACAAGGTCTTCACCAAGGCACGGTCTGTGTCCCCGCCAAGGCCTGGAGATGCTTCGCAGACTCGAGTAGAGCTCTCGAGTTTTGCAGAGAGCAATGCGAGGCACGGGCCGCCCGCAGTCGGCAAGCCGCTGCTGTCGCAGTGCAGGCGAGGCTCTGTTATGTATGTATACTGTTCTCTATGTGTCTCTGTTTTCCCCTTTTCCCCTCTCTCTCTCTCTCCCTCTCTCTCTGTGCATCCTGCAACTTGACGTCCAATGCTGACGAGGGTCACCAGTCGAATGCACGAGCCGCAGAGGGCGATGTCAGGATCGCCAAGGCTGTTGACCCACCTTTTTGTTGTGCTTCGTGGTGTGAGGCGACTGACTCTTGAAGCTAGTGCGGTGCAACACTACGGATTGGAACAGCGGCATTTCAACAGTTTCAGACATGGTCTTCCCCGGATGTTCATTCCGTGGGTGAGAGTCAAGACTGCTTCTCAGCACTACACCTCATGCCGGGCAGGGCAGTTTCTACACCCGTGGTCGTTGGCATCTTATTGTGGGGATGATGTGGCTTCTTGAGAGCATGTGTAAGCCCTATGGGATTGGCTGGTGCCCAGGCAAGACTCCCCGGGCCCCCCCTGCTCAGAGTGGCTGCTGCCGCAGCTGGCGTTGCTTGTCACCAGGCCTATAGCTGGGATTGAAAGCGACACGGACCTCCTTCAAGAAGCTAGAAACTATTGTAGCAATCAGCAGCGGAGAGAGGCACTGTCTGGTCTTGTGCAGCCAGCCAGGCAGCGACGTTGGCACACCCCTTGCAGCAGCTTGATGATGTGCTTCCCTGAGCATGGTGTGTTTCCGCAATCGGGAAAATGTGTGTCTCCATGATTCCCCAAGGCTCGGCATCGAGCGCAGGTGGAGTTCTGGTCCGGCACCATTTGAGCTTGGCCCAAAGAGGCCAAATCGAGCATCAACCAGGGAGTAGCGCGGCTCTGAAAGGTCAAGGCTCTGTGGCAGCACGCGCTGTAGCGGAGCGTAGCGTAGCGGAGCGGAGCGGAGCGGAGCGGAGCGTAGGCTTGTGGCATGCGGGTCTTGCTGTGTGGTGGGCCCCTCAAGCTCAACAGCTGGTAGTTTAGTGTTTGGATGGGGAGTTACGCAAGACCTTACAAGGCCTGAGCCTCAGCTCTCTTTGCGAATGTCAGTCTCCAGTCGCTGATTTTGCTGAGTTTGCAATTCTTCCACTTGTCAGCAAACGTCGAATGGAAGGTGTTGAACGGGCCGATACTGGGGCGATTTTGACATCTTTGAACGCCGAGGTCTGTATCACTTGCTAGCCTGTTCGACCCGGCAGAGCGTCGGGGCTGATATGGGCAGCTGCAAGCCCGGGCCACAAGGTTTTTGTCGGAGCAAACGCGGGGAACTAAAGCGATCTCAGGAGTTGCATACGTGACAATCACAAAATGCCAAGTCTTCACTATCATGACGAGTGGTTTCTCTGGCCGGTACATGGTGGAACTTCAAAAGGAAGATTGTTCTGAACAAAATCGCTCTCCTCTCTTCATCAGATTGCGCTTTCGATTGTTTTGTCATCAATGCTTTGCTTCTGCGAACCCGAGTTCTGTGGAAGATCACTCAGCACCAGGAGAGGGAAGTCACGGAACGCATGAGATTTCATGAGACTTGCCGGTTGGCTTTTGCTTCTGACCTCGGCATATACAGCATGGCAAAAGACCTGGAAGGAGCGGTGAAGCTCACGGCTTCCGGGAGCCACTTGGAGTTAGACCTCCTTGCGTCAGCTGTCCCGAGGCCAGCTTTGTGCGGCAGAGCCTCGCATGCCTTCTTTTTGACTTCTTGTGACGTTTCTCTGCAAAAGGTCGTCCGACGACACGCCGCCCCAAATTACCTTGGAACCCATGCCACATCAAGTGGGTGATCAGGAGCCCGGATATCCCCAAGTGGTACGCCATCCTATCGAATATCCGTACAAAATCGTGTGCATGTTCGTCTCGAGGAAGCCACCCCGACGTTCAACCTCGCTTCTGCCCTGGCCGACCCCTCAGACTCTCAAGAGATGCGGCTCCCTATGCACTCAATGCACTCTGTGTTGCGCTCCGTTGCGCGTTGTGGACGTGGCTGTGCTCGAGTCACGCATCTGAGGCCGACAATTCTCCTGGCCAAGCGCCAAGACTTATGCTTGGGCATCGCAGCTGCGTTGAACGTTTCATCCTGCGCCAGGAAAATCATCGAAGGATCCAAAGGCGGTTCGCTCACACTTCGCGGCAGTTCCTGCCAAGGATGTAGATAAAATTATCATCCCCATCCCCCAGGTCAAGGCAAGATTACATATGGCCGGAGACCTTTGCAGTGCAGCGCTCGAAGGCGAGATCTGAAGGCTGTTGGAAGGTTCGTGGTTTGACGAAATTCCAAGCGTTTCCGGTTAGTTTGGTTCCTATATTGGTCGTCAGGAGACCTCGAAGAGCTGAAGCGCCTCCTCGACGCTGGCTATGAGGTGAATGCAGGTCCCCAGAAGAGAGAGGGAGCTCCAGTACTCAAGATTGGCGGAGGGCGGGGTGTGCTGCTAAAACAGGAGGGCACCGGTAGTTACTCACCAGCATCTTCCCTTTCCAAATCAAGGGGCCATTTTAGGCGATTACGACCGCCGGGCGGCCATCCACATCGCTGCTGCCGAGGGCCGCGAGGAGGCCCTTGCGAGAGACTGGGCCTGGCCGGCTAAGCCAGCTAAGCAGAGCTGTTTAGCTACTCTGAGCTGTCTGCCTGCAGTGTCTGTTTGTGGAAGCTTTGAAGCACTGAGTGCAAGCAGCCCGAGTTTGTTCTTTGAATCCGTTACCGGTGTCACATCTCACGTGTCCTTGATGGGTTTGATGGGGTTTCCTGGAAAGGTCGTAGCATTGCTGCTATCCCACGCAGCGGTCAATCTCTCAGTGCTGCGACGGTTCAATGTCTTTCATAAGATGACAAGATGACCCTGCGCACCCTCCTTTCAAGGATGCGACCGTTGTAGATCGTCCTGGCCTGATGTTCCATTCAAGGCAAAGCGCCGTCGAGTGGGGGAAATGGGAGCCGAGGCTGGGGTCACAGCCCATTAGACGAGGCCGTCCGAGCTGGACACAGCAAGGCAGGGAATGATTTCCTCTGACGTCATATTCGCAACTCCACTCATCCACTCATCCACTCATCAGTCTTGTGGCAGGTGGCAGCGATGCTCAAACCAGTGGCGTCGTCGGAAGGAAGCAAGTTTGAAAGGCAAACGCCCCGACCCTGGAATCTGGAAGCCAGGAAGCTTGTGACACCGCGGTGCGGTACAAGTGCAAGTTGGCCTCATAGGATTTCTAGGTCTGGAATGGAGACAGCGGCCATGCTCTGTGCTGCCGCCCGCTACTCGGGATGCGGCGCTGTTCGGCAGCGCTTTTTTTCGGCAGTGCGCACGGCACACTCGGCACGCTTGCCTTGCTTTGCTTCGTCCCTGCCAGGCTGCCACTGCATGGTTGCCGCAGATCGAGACACGCGGTTGCAGAGAAGCAGTGGGGCAGTGGGGCAGTGGGCAGTGGGCAGTGTGATGAAAAACTCGTTTGGACAATGTCGGCATGTACCGTCATCCCATGGGATCCGGGAAGGAAGCTGCTGCTTAGCAGAGCTGACCCCAGTGCGGCTGACTACGATGGTCGTACGGCGCTGCATATTGCTGCAGCCCGTGGGCATGCCGAGGCTTCGATTCAAATGCTCTGTAGATCACCACAAATGCTATGCAGATCACCAGACGCTTTTCCGATCCCAAGTGGCAGGTGGTCAAGATGCTGCTTCGCGCAAAGGACGGACATTGCAACTCCTCACCTGCTTGTCAATCACTTGTTGCAGGTGTTTGCTGGAGACCCAATTTGTGTTTGCCTTTTGTGTTTTTGTGTTTTTTTTGAGGCTCTATGTTGTCTTGCCCTAATTCTTAAACCCTAAATATCCCTAAACATCCCTAAACGTCCCTAAACATCCCTAAACCCTAAACCCTATACCTGCCCACCACCCCTCTCACTCTAGAGGTGAGTGGGCACGCCGAGCGCTCAGCGAGACCATGGCAGGCTCTGCTGAGCTGCAGACCCTGCCAACCGCACCCCTGAGGGGTCGCCAGGCTACAGTCGCTTAGCTGTTTATATATAATAGCCCTAAACCCGACCCTCAAAAATTGCGTTCTTGCACGGCCTATTTTGGGTCCTCGAGCCCGGGAAAGGCCCCTGGAGGGTCCTGGGAGGCCCCCCTGATGGAAAGTTTTTGGAGGGAGCCCCCCACAAGCCTGGCCTGCGGGTGACAGGCTCCTGAGGCTGAAAAGATCTGGGGGCTTCATCTATGTCCTTCGCAAGGTAGGTTTTCCGCCATGTAGCCTTGACACTTCACGGCGTAAAGAAGAAAGACAATGAGAAGGCCCTCCGGCCGAAGACAGCCCCCAACGCAAATGCTAATTTGGCTCTCACAAGCTTCTAGACATGACTTTCACAAGGCGTGTTTGTCGCCATGCAGTTTTGACACCCCGACGTCGAGAATGGAACCCGCCCGCCACCCCTCCCCTGGTGGCCCTAGGAGTGGGAGCCCCGGAGGCCCCTGGGAGCCCCCCTAAGCCTTAGGGAGGCCCCTGCATGGACAGGCCTGGTCCTGCGGGTGACAGGCTCCTGAGGCTGAAAAGGTCTGGGGGCTTCATTTATGTCCTTCGCAAGGTAGGTCTTTCGCCATGTAGCCTTGACACTTCGGCGTAGAGAAGAAAGACAATGAGAAGGCCCTCCGGCCGAAGACACCCCCCCCAATGCAAACGCTGATTTGGCTTTTGCAAGCTTCAGATCTTTCTAGCAAAGGGTCTGTCGCCATGCAGCCTTTACACTCCGGCATAGAAAAGAAAACAATGAGAAGGCCCTCCGGCCGAAAACGCCCCCAGCGCAAACACTGATTTGGCTCTCGCGAGCTTCTAGACATGACTTTCGCAAGGCCTGTTTATAGCAAACATGACACCCCGACGTCGAGAATAGAAACAATGAGAAGGCCCTCTGGCCGAAGACACCCCCGCGTGCAAACGCTAATTTGGCTCTCGCAAGCTTCTAGACATGACTTTCACAAGGCGTGTTTATAGCAACAAGCCTTTCGCCATGCAGCCTTGACACCCCGACGTCGAGAATGGAAACAATGAGAAGGCCCTCCGGCGAACACGTCCCCCAATAGAACACCTAATTTTCTCTCGAGAGTTCGAAATCTAATCTAACATCTTTTCCACGGCATCTTCTCAGATGACACCTTGCAAAAAGGCATCAAGCTCCATGACATAAGGAAGCGTGCTACATGTTAGTCCGAAGTACAGCGTTGAGTGCAGAGGTGTTTGAATGTGGGCTGGCTTTGGTTTGGCTGGCTTTGGTTTGGCTGGCTTTGGTTTGGCTGGCTCCAGTTTGGCCCGTTTTGAGTGGTGTTCGGGTGGCCTTGGGGTGGGCATGTCTGCACACAACTGCGTACAGCTGATCAATGCTACACCCTAAACCCTAAACCCTAAACCCTAAACCGTAAACCGTAAACCGTAAACCCTAAACCCTAAACCCTAAACCCTAAACCCTAAACCCTAACAACCCTAAACCCTAAACCCTAAACCTAAACCCCAAACCCTGAACCCTGAACTCTGAACCCTGAACCCTAAACCCTAAACCCTAAACCCTAAACCCCAAACCCTAACCCCTAACCCCTAACCCCGAACCCCCCAACAACCCTTAACCCCTAGCCCTTAACCCCTAAACCCTAAACCCTAAACCCTAAATCCTAAACCCTCAACCCTAAACCCTAAACCCCAAACCCTAAACCCCAAAAATTCCAGGTTTTCCACAAAAAACTCCCGGTTTTCCACAAATCCCGGTTTTCCACAAAAAAATCCCAGTTTTCCACCAAAAATTGCCGGTTTTTCCACAAAAACTTCCCGGTTTTTCCACTAAAACTTCCCGGTTATTCCGCCAAAACTTCCCGGTTTTTCCACTAAAAATTCCATGTTTTCCACCAAAAATTCCCGGTTTTCCACCAAAACTTACCGGTTTTCCACAAAAAAAATCCCGGTTTTCCACAAAAAATCCCGGTTTTTCCACCAAAACTTCCCGGTTTTCCACCAAATATTGCCGGTTTTTCCACCAAAACTTACCGGTTTTCCACCAAATCTTCCCGGTTTTTCCACCAAAACTTTTTTTCCACCAAAAAGTCCCGGTTTTTCCACCAAAGCTTCCCAAAAAATTCCCGGTTTTCCACCAAAATTTCCCGGCTTTCCACCAAAATTTACCGGTTGCTCGGCGGGCCTACTCTGGGCTGGCTTTAGGGTTTAGGGCCTACTCTGGGCTGGCTTTTGGGTTTAGGGCCTACTCGGTACTGGCTTTAGGGTTTAAGGCCTACTCTGGGCTGGCTTTAGGGTTGAGGGCCTAGTCTGGGCTGGCTTCTGGGCTGGCTTTAGGGTTTAGGGCCTAGTCTGGGCTGGCTTTAGGGTTTCGGGCCTCTCGGGGCTGGTTTTATTGAGGGTTTAAGGCCTACTCTGGGCTGGCTTTAGGGTTTAGGCCCTGCTCTGGGCTGCCTTTAGGGTTTAGGGCCCACCCTGGGCGGCAGCCGACTGAACCAACAATTTTAAGATTAAAACATAAAGTAAAATATTTTCATAATGTTATGGGATCCAATGGGTGGGTGGGTCGATATTCGATACCGGAGTAAGGAGCTCTACTAGTGAAATGCTTGGACTTGAGATGCTGAACCCTAACCTTAAACCCTAAACCCTAAACCCTAAACCCTAACAACCCTTACAACCCTTACAGCCCTCACAACCCTCAACCCTAAACCCTAACCCCTAACCCCTAACCCCTAACCCCTAAGCCCTTAACCCCTAAACCCTAAACCCTAAACCCTAAACCCTTAACCCCTAGCCCTTAACCCCTAAACCCTAAACCCTAAACCCTAAACCCTAAACCCTAAACCCTAAACCCTAAACCCTAAACCCTAAACCTTAAACGCTAAACCCTAAACCCTAACCTTAAACCCTAAAGCCTAAACCCTAAACCCTAACAACCCTTACAACCCTCACAACCCTCAACCCTAAACCCTATACGGGGGGCAACCGAAGGGGGACGAGAAACCAAACAGTCAACCCCAACAGAAACCCTTGATTCCCCTGGAACAACCAACAACCAAACAACAAGACCCCAAACCAAGGGCACACTTTTTACGAAACCTTCGACCGCTTTGGTCATGGCTTGAGCCATAAGATTACCGGGTGCATTGACCCTTCAACTTCCAATACCAACTCCTTTCTACAATACCAACTGCAGCTCCGCACTCCCCCTGTCCTAGGATTTCCTAGGACACATTGGAGGTGCAGATCTTTGGCCAAAAACCGCCATTTAGGCAGCAGCCAGCTGCTTGAAATGCACATTATGGTTTTACGTCTTCCAGGACGAACCTTCAGCTCATTGGCCGAATCCTTTACCGTTGAGGATTTCTTCACCTCGCACTTGAAAAAATTCACGTTCCAGCGGCCCGTTCCTCACCAAGGAACTCGGCATTCACCACCCAGCCATCCTTGAGGCAATGCTTACAAAGCGTCTTAGCCCTGGGCTGTGAATATCGCAGAACATCACAGTCACTGCTTGCGTGCATACAGTTCCCACCCACTGTTGTATACAAAGTGGCACTCGCAGGAATAACCACCGCTTTCTTGATCCACAGCCATTTATACAGCTGCCGAAAGAGGCACCATGCCAATTCCCAGAGTATAATTGCTGCCACCAAATACGCAACAAGGTCTGAATTGTTGATAACCATTTCAATACCTTGAGCCAGAACCATCACCGTAGATGTGTTGGCGACCTTGCACACCCCTTCTTCCGAGCAAAAGAAACCAGCAGTTGACACTTCTTCGCCACCAGTTGCCATCCCTTGCAGAGATGCAGCCACCATCATGACCGCCATTGCAAGCGAGGCCCTCTTCAAGTCAGTCCCTTGTACCAACAGTCGGAGACCCCAAAGTGCCTTTTGCTTTGCATACACCTGTCCACTCATCAACTTGGTCAACAGGTCAGCGATCATATACTCACCGCGAAGATGCGCTATCACCATATAACCACGGTCCACCAGAGACCTGACACCGGCTGCTCGAATTCTCAGGTGTCTTGTCCTCCAGCTTCCAGCAGGATATTGAATGATCGAGCACGTTGAAACCGAATCTGTATACAGCACTTTTTGCAGCGATTCTTCACCTGTTCCAACCAAAGCGGCAATTATAGGGGTGCACGACTGAATCATCGTTGCTCCCTCTATGGACGCATGTAATTCAGCTTCAGCTGTACTTAAAGCCACCGTTGATTGTCTCTGTGTTGCCCACATCACTGGACAGTCACCCCACACCACCACCGCTCCTGAGTGGCTCTTTTCATTTTCACCTGCTGCAAAGCTGGCATCCGCGTAGGACTCCACCACCTTGACGCCTCGTCCATAACGCAACACCTCATTCCTTTCTTTTTCGCATGTTGCGATTGCTCCGAACGTCAGGCCAAACGTTGGAGTTGCAGCAAGGTATCGAAAAACCTCCTCAGCCTTTTTAACCACAAATCGCGGCCTTCGGGATGTCCACAAAGACAACTGGCTCGTGCAGAACGCCAAATCAGGTCGAGTTTTGATTGCCACCAGAGGAACTCCCCTACGGCACCTTGAGCCGCTCGCAAGGAAGGAATATCTACCTCCTCTTCTTCACCTGGAGTTTCTTTCACCATTGGCAGGTTACTCCCTTTTCCAGTTTCATCGATCTGATACCCTCGTCGGTTCAGCA